CCTTGAACTGAAGAGCACAGGGAGAGCTCACCCAGGCCCAGAGTTCAAGACCCACAATCAAAAAAAAAAAAGAAAGAAAAGAAAAGTGGTAGGGGGAAAAAAACCCCAAACAACCTAATGTAGCCTGATTCAGTGAACCAAATCGCATCGTCCTTTATATTTGTATTGCACGTTTCAGTGTACATTGTTTTCACTTCCTGTATCTCGCTGGACCCTTGAATTCACCCCCCTGTGCAGCAGAGGATTCAAGCATGGAGGAACAACCTTGGAGGACAGCAAGGAAGGCAGGTACTCCTGTGTATTGGTAGGACTGTTGTTTATACTAAGAGTACATCTCTGAGTGATCTAGCAGTCTAAATAAATAGATTTGCTAAGTGATCTCTACTTGGGGCCTCATTCCCCAGAGAAAAAGTTACATTGACAAAGAAGTATTCCGTTCTGAAATATATCCCAGTAGCTGTAGCAAGTCTAGGTGCTTTTCCTAATGGGTGCCCACAGCTGGAAATAACCACTTCCTTCCTCTAGCTTGTCCTGTGACTGTTTGTAGTCATCATATTCCCATTACTGCACTGGAAGCTGTTATCCATCCATCCATCCATCCATCCATCCATCCATCCGTCCATGCATTCATTCATGCATTTCCATACATACACACCTGATTTAGAGACAGAGTCCCAGTATTTAGTCATACATGGACCTTGAACTTGAGGTCCTCTTGTCTCAGCCTCCTGGTCACTAGGATTCCACAGGTACACTACCACACTTGACTTGTTTATTCTCTTATTCAGATATTAACAAGTAATTGTGGTCCATACTTTGTACCAAATATTAGACCAGAGAAATGAGCATAATCCTCTTCTGGAGCTTATAGTCTACTAGGAAGAGAGAAAATAGCAGACAAGTAAATATGTAATAGCAAACGATAGACATTTCAAGTTGGGACAACTACCATAAAGGAAATAACTGAGAGAGAGGTGAGCGAGTAAGCCAGGGGATGGAAGCAGCGAGCAAGATAACACAACCCCAGGCCTGAGAATTTAGGTGAATGTGCTGAGGAAAGCAAAAGTATGGAAGGAAGAATACAGAGGTCTGGCTGGGATGACAAGGTTAGACATATTGTCTCTTGATGTCCTCCTATTAGCATATTTGTTTAAAAATAACAAGGACAAGAACTTGAATGATAGCTGTATATTTGTGAAAACATTAAATGAAGGAGTAGACAACAAGGCCATGAGCATTTGTGTCAATATTCTAAACATACTGAACTTGGGGGACCTGGGTCTTAGTGTTGTCTCCTTTCCCCATCTTACCATGTGGAGAAAACAAGCTTAGTTCCCTAGGAAAGGTGTATTTTATTTTTAACTTGTATTAGGATCAGTCAAATGCATCTTAACAAACTCTGAATGAATTTAGGATTTAATATGTTTGTTTATTAATAGTTATTTTTAGTTCAAACCAGGGTTTGAATTCAGGGACTCATGCTTGCTAGGCAGTCATTCCATCATTTAATCCACGTCCCTAGTCTTTTCTTCTTCTTTTTTTTTTTTTAATTTTTTCTGTCTTTTTTTTTTCCCCCAGATAGGGTCTCATGCTTTTGACGGATCCAGTGTGCACCATAATCTTATTGCCTCTTTCATAGCTGGAATAACAGGTGTGATTTACCACATCCAACTTATTGGTTGAGATAGTCTCTTGCTAACTTTTTGCCTGGCTTGGCCTTGATGCATGATTCTGTCAATCTCAATTTCCCAAGTAGCTGGGATTATAGGTATGAAAGACCATGCTCTACACTTGATGACAAGTGTTCAATCAAGCTAGACACCTACGAGGCATGCACACTGCCTGCTGCTGCCATTCAAACAGTGGTGGGTTTTTTTTTTTTCTGCGTTGTTTTTATTTTATTTCTGATTCTGCTGGAAAAACACCCAAAATCTTGGGCCAGATTACCCTACCCCAGGCAGCACCTGCAATGAGAAGGCCGGAAGTCAAGCTAGAGCAGAGGAGGAACCTTAAACCAGAGTCCCAAGGGACCCAGGTGGATTCCCCCAGTGAGCGGTGGTGCATGTGTCTACCAAGGCTCTCAGTGCTTCTTTCTGGAGAGGGGGAGGCTCAGAGGAGCTGGGCTTCTACAAGGATGGTTCAGCAGCATCTCTGGAGGGTTCTGGGAGACTGATTGAGGCCTTGCTCACAAGGGTGGAGTCTGTAGGACGTTGGGCCTTGTGATACACATGGAGAAAACTTCTTCAAAGCAGACTTTTTTTTTTTGCCAGTCCTGGGGTTTGAACTCAGAGTCTGAGCACTGACCCTGAGCTTCTTTTTGTTCAAGGCTAATGCTCTACCACTTGAGCCACAGTGCCACTTCTGGTTTTTTCTGTGTATGTGGTACTGAGGAATCGAATCCAGGGCTTCATGCATGCTAGGCAAGCATAGACTTTTAGAAGACGGTTAAAGTTGTCCCAGTGTTCCTTGCCCCTAATCTTCTTCCCATGGCTCAGACTTAAAGCTGTAAAGCCATTCAAGGAAGGCTGCTGGTTTGGGAAGAATTTTGCATTTGCATTGGAAAAGTCTTTCTTGACAGAAAATCATTTGGGTGGGAGGTTTCATCCTCCAGCAGTCACCCTGAAAGGGCTCTAGTCTTTCTGGGTCATAATGGACCGTCTTGCTGTTTTAGGAGCTTGCATTTTGAGTATTGTTGTTATTGATGAGCATTAAAAAGTGATCAATTTATGTTTGTTGGGACCCCCAACAAACTCTGTTTTCCTGATTGTGGGGGAGATTTAAGAGTCTATACATGTTTTAGAATCCATAAAGCTGTACAAACTTCTTGTGTACATAGAAAAGTAATCAAACTTAATTTTATACAGTAAATTTTTTAAAACCATCATCTAGAGCCAGGGGTGGTGCCACCTATCTGCCATTTTAGCACTGAGGAAGCTGAGGCAGGAGGATGAGTTTCAGAATGGCATAAAAGTCCAGATACTCCTGCCTCAGACTCCTGAGTCACTGAAATTACATTCTATCATACCTGGCTCCAGATAGATTTACAGATAACGCAACCAAGACCTGGGATGCTCATCATCCCTATCCTTATGCCCCAGCTAGGTTTCTACTGCCTCAGTGAGTTCTAGGGACCAAAGCCCCACAAAACAGACACAGCATTACTCAAAATGCAAGCTCTTATAACACCTAGACAGTCTATTATGACCCAGAAAGACTTCTTAGAGCCCTGTTAGGGTGACTGCTAAGGATGAAATCTCCCACCCAAATGAGTATCTGTCAACAAGTATTTCAAAGCCTCAGGGAATCCCAGCTATTGAAAGATGTTCGTCTTTCAGTAAATCCAAGGCTCCCCCCCTCCTCCCTGCCCCAACTCAGGGAAGCCCCAATCAGGGGGAGACCCTGCTTGGGGGAGAAGTGAAGAGTCTCTCCTCACCCTCCACTGGCTGCCTAGGTCCCTGGTGAAGGCAGAGGACAAAATTAGTGCCATTATGCAAAATAACAGGAAAGCGAGGGCTCAGCTCAGTGGAGAAAAATGCCAAAACAAGCCAGTTTCCCCTAGGAGCCCAGACCAGGGAGGGAACAAACAGCTCCCCTCACTCAGCCCTCCTGGCCCAGAGCAGTCCTGTTCAGTAACAAACCGGCCTGACACTCTAGGTGTGTGTGCCTTACCCATCTTGCCCATCCAGAACTCCAGGGGATATCTGCTACAAATTGGGTTTTTCTCTCTAGCTCTCACACACTGTCTATGGTTCTCCAGGTAAACTAGTGGTTTCCTCTAAGTAGAGATTCCCCTGCCTGAATCTGGAGCATGAACAGCAGAGGAATGTTTCTGAATCCCCTCCAGGTAAACAGGAAGTGGGGCACAATCTGGCTTGGGAGGGAGGCCTTGCACATACAGGTTAGCTGCACTTGACCCCACCCCTACCCCCTAGCTATGAGTTGACTCAAGTTATGCTCACAGCTGATAGCTTGAGGCCTAATTTGTAGAGAGACCAAGGGAGCATATAATGAGGACAGTGGGGGTGGGATGGAGGAGGGGGTGGGGATATGACACTGAGAAAGTTTACCACACAAAGCCTCCTCTCTCTCTCTCTCTCTTTCTCTCTCTCTCTCCCTCTCTCCTTCTTTCTCTCTCCCTTTCTCTCTGGTGATATTGGGGCTTGCTAGGTAGATGCCCTACCACTTGAGCTACATCCCCAGTTCAAGAATCTTTTCATGGCTCTGGGTCAGATTTAAAAGTCACAGGTAGGCTGGGCACTGGGTGGTTCATGCCTGCATTCCTAATTTCTCAGGAGGCTGAGATCTGAGGGATGCAGTTTGAAGCCAATTCAGGCAGGAAAATCCATGAGACTCTTTATCTCCAATTAACTACCAAAAGTGGAGCCTCGGCTCATGCTGGCCTTAAGCAAAAATGCTCAGGGACAGCACCAAGGCCCTGAGCTCAAGCCCCAAGACACCCCCAACCCACCCCCCACCACACACACAAAGTCATAGGTAGGCAGTGAGAGGTGCTGCAAAGGTAGGAAATCCCTGCGCTCTGGAGAGAAAGCCATCTAAGGGGCCTAGACCCAGGGCCACAGCTGCACAGGCTGGTCTGAGCAGGTTGAGACCTGCAGCGCTTTGGAAGAGCTTTGTTGAAACAGGTGAAATGAGCATTGGGATAGGTGGAGGAGAGCAAAGCCCCCTAAGGCTGAGCCCCTGGCTCTGTGAAGCAGCTAGGACTCAATTGCTGCTGGTTGGCTCAGTGGATCCCAGGGCATCCCTGTCTATCACCTCTTAGGTTCCTTTTCTCCAGCTGCTCTAGGCCTAGTCAGAACTAAGGGCAGAAAACTGGGCAATGTGACCACAGGCCCCATCTGAGCCTTCATAGAGAAAGGGAGGGCGATCAGGACAGTTATCTCCTCCCACAACCCAGAGGCCCACAAGTACCACATTTAGATGCCACACCTGCATACAGGGCCACTATGTCCACCTGCCCTGTGAACCATAATTCTGTGGGGTAGTTGTCAGACATGTTTATTCCATGGGAGAATGGGTTCCAGGCTAAGTGCCCTCAGTGATGGGAGGGGATGGACATGAGGAGCAAAGTCTCACTAACCACTTGGCTTGTGGCCCTTCCCAGCATTGTAGGTAGCCCATCAGCTCTGAGTTCATCTGCAGGTTCTGACAAGTCTCTCTTGCTTTTCCTGTCCCAAACATGGGGATAGATCCCACACCGTACTCCCAGAAGGCTGGGTCCAGTCTATCACCAGAGAATTTCTTGTTCCAGGTCACTTCCCTGTTGTCCTGCTACCCCAGGCCCTTTGGCAAGAGCTGGGAACTAGGAATTTAGCCGGGAGGCAGCTCCAGCAGGTCAGCTTCAGAGGCCAACTGGAGGTTCCATAGGAGGGGATGGGCATGAGCCGGGCAGTTCTGAAGCAGTCAGTGAGGCCCGGGAGCTGTGCGGGGTGTGGGGCCTGATTCCTCACTCCTGACCTGGATGCTCTCCAACAGACCACTTCACCTCCCCTGTCCGCAGAGTCACTATGTCCTCATAGGTGGCGGTTTGGTCAACATTCAGGCCCTGAAGACAGGAAATGGAGTTCAGGCTTGGGCCACACCCTGATCACAGCAACAGTGGGGCTTACTGATGATTCACTTCCAGGTTACCCTAGTCCTTACCTCATAGGTGTGATCTTCCTCCATCCCAGACTTGCTGTCATCCTGTGGGACAGGTGGGGGAGAGATCCATATTAATATCCCTCCCCCCACATCTCTGTCCCCTAATGGGTTAGAATGGGAAGACCAGGAACAAAGGGATAGGTACAAAGTATCTCCAAAAACAACTAAATAAATTACTAAATGAATGAATGTTTGAAGGGTAAGTCAATGGACAGGCTCTGAGGCCAAGAAAGCAACTTCAAGGACCAGGGAGATGGAAGGCTTGCCCATGTCTGATCTGAGGCCACCTCCCACCCCTACCCTCTGCCCCAGTTCCACCAAAGCTCCCTCACCTTGTCCAGCAACAGGAAGATGGGCACAATGATGAAGAGGATGATGAGCAGAGTCTGGATCATGATGATTCCATCCTTCAGTGTGTTGCGCCGCTTCAACTGTGCCAAGGTGCTGAACCCTGGGGAAGATAAAGTGGAGAATGAGGCTAGGGTGGGGGAGATGGCTGGATCAGAGCCCATCTATAAGCTTCTAGTGGTAACTTTCTGTGTGCCCCTCAGGGATTGCTGCCCAGCAGCTCTGTTGGGAGTTGCAGGGCTGTGGCTACCTCCCTTGGAATCTGGAATGGGGGGATGGCAGGCCTGCACACACCCATGACTCGCAGCTCTGTGCCACAGCTCTGGACATTTGGAGAGCTCCTCCCTGTGCACTCCAGCTGGCAGAAGTAGATGCCGTTGTCTTCAAACTGGACCTCTTTAATGGTGAGAGTGTAGATGGAGCCGTTCTGGGATGGCAAGATTCGGCTCTGATCTGGGAGCACCATCTGGAGGTCCGCATTCATCTCCGGCTTCCGGAACCACGTCACCATGCCAGAGCTGTCTGCATAGCAGTGTATGTTCACCTTGGAGCCCCGTTTCCTGGCCACAAACCGTGGATTCTGCCAGATTCCGGAACAAGCACTTCCTGTGGGCACCAAGGCCAAACCCCAAATCCCTCTTGGCATCTTCCTGCCAGCTAGCCTCACCCAAAGGCTCCAGCTCTGGGTGGGGCCTCAGGCTGCCTTTTTGTCTTTGTGTGGGTTGGTCAGGAGACAGGGGTATGGAGGAGCTGCTTTTTGCTGACCTTCCCCTGAGCTGCCCTGCACCTGCCTGAAATCCCCTAGGGCTCCCCACAGTCCCCAGGGGAGAAAGACAAATTCTAAGGCTTCCAATGAAGGCCCTCCCCATCTCCCCTTCTACCTACTCCTTTTTGTACTCTTGCTCAGAGACTCAAGTACTCATTCATCACTAGACAGCCAGGCCTGAGGCCTCTGTGGAATCCCCATGACTCCCCTGCTTGAGACCTGGGTTAGCCTATCTCCCAGTGTCCAGGAGCACAAAAAAAAAAAAAAGACAGCTAGCTGGAAGTGGGGCTTCAGTGGAAGACCCTAAGGAGGCCTGGGGATGAAGGCCTGGGAAGGGAGACCCATGGCAGGACAGGACACAGGTGTTCTGGGACAAAGACCAATGTTCCAGTGTTGAGCAGACATACTTGCCCTCAGGTAGGGTTGACAAGTGACTGACCTGGAGGATTCTGTGCTGGGTCCTTTGTTGACATTGTTGGCACTGGCCCATCTGTGGGGTGGGAGGAAGTGGGTGGGGCCAGTCAGGCTTCTCCACCCTCTGCTGGCCACCTTAGCCCTGCACACTTTACATTCCCAAGGCCACTTCCTCCTTCCAGGACTTAAGCTCAATGACCCCTCAACCCTCCATGTTCTGGAGAGGCAGGAAGCCCTCCCTCCAGCTCCCCTTCTCCCCTTGACCCTTTGGGTGGCCTTGAACAGGCATTTAAATGAGACAGGAAGGAAGTCACAGCTGGGAAGGCTATACTGCCTTCCAGATGAGGAGGGGTCTCTTTATGGAATATCTTCCTTCCAGGGACTGGCTGGCGCCACCTTTCCCCAGTCCACTCCCATGTGGTATCCTGAAGGGCCTTAGGGACAAGCCACATGTAGCTAGTTCCTCCTCCAACATTAATGGCTGCCCACCAGGCATGCCCCTGTGCCCAGCAAAACCCCACATACTCTAGTCAATGCAGACCCTGAGCCCAACACTAAGGCTGTGACCCAGGGCAGGCAGAGAGACATGGGACATGAGAGGCAGAAAGAGATGCAGAAGGAGGTGGAGAGAGCAGGAGTCCTAAGCACAGAGTCAAGCCCGCAGGCCCATCACAGCCATACCGGAGAAGAGCAGCACCGCCATCAGCCAGCAGTGGAGCATGGGAGATGGACCCAGCTTTGCCATGGTCGCCAATCTGTCTGTCTCTGATATCTCCAACGTCCAAGCCTGTCACCAGGTCCTCAGTCTGAGCTTTTTGGGGGAAAATAACATATAACTGCCTGGTGTGTAGCCTGTCCCTCCCTGCTTCTCCCCCACCCTCCAGGCCCCTTCCTGCCATGCAAATTGGAACCCAGGGGAGGTACCAACTCTCTAAGCACCCTGGGGACTCTGGGAGAGGGCGGGCTCTTGTCCACCAGGCCTCTAAGGCTGGCAGGTTGCTGGTCTAGACAACAAAGCCGGAGTCCTCAGTAGAAGTCCTGGGAGAGAGGCTTCGGACTCTTCATCTTCAGGAACAGCATGTGTTTTACAGCCTGCGTCCTCATCCTGCTGGTGATGGACTGCTAGCTTTCCATCTGAGCCTGCTAGCTCCTTTCCTTCTAGGCACTTAGCAAGACATATACCAGTCCTATGACTAAATCTAACTTGGCCTAACCCACTGAGGAAGGGACACTAAGGAGGAAGGCCAGTTCAGAGTCAAGGGTCAGCCACGAGCCAAGCCAGACATCTGGAAGGGTCCCCAGCAGAGTTTCTTGTCTAGGGCATAGACAGCTATGTCAGAAGTTGGCCTAGTGGAGGAAGGGAGCCACAGTGGTTCTTGAGCAAGAGCAAGCATAGGCCAAAAGTGGCCACCACTTAAGAAAAGTGTTCTAGGTCTTAGGGCAACCCAAGAGGCTAAACTTAGGTAGAGATGGCTTAGCAAAAACAAAGCAAAGAACCAATCAGAGGGTTCTAGGGAGATCTGTTGAACTGTGAGGGCACTGAAGTGTGGTTCAAAGCCTTAGGAGTCCAAGGGCTAGTGTTGGGGAGCCTTCAGGTACTGAAACTAAAAGGCTCTCTGCCCCGTGCCTACAATCCTAACTACTTAAGAGACTGAGATCTGCAGACTGAAGGTCAAAGCAGCCTGGGCAGACAAATCCCTTGAGACTCTTTATCTCCAATGAACCAGCAAAAAGCCAGAATTAGAGGTGCTGCAAGACAGGGAAGAATGCAAGGGCCTGAGTTCAAGCCCCAGTACTGGCACTCCCACCCTCCACAAAAAATCCCAACTTTTCAGTCAGCAGATGGAATTGTAACACTTGAGTTCATCTAATATCAAGTTGTGCCCCTGTCCACCCCCACCTCAGTTCTATACAACCTTTTCCCTTGGGGTTGCAGGATGCAACCTGCACAGCTGGGCAGAGTAAAGCTTGCACACCACAGCCTATAACAGGACTCTGAGCCATATCTTCAGGCAGTTCCTTTTTCTTTGTTGTCCTCTGACCTACCCCCAGGAGAAGAAGATAAAGTTTAAATCTTCAGTGTCTCTATCCTCATCTCAATCTTTATGACCCTGAGTCACAGCCTGTGTGACTGGTAGAGTTGCCTGGGTTTAGGGAAGTGAGAACTCTCCTCCCATGGGGAAGGGTCTGGGCCCCTCACCTTACCCCATCTCAGGTCCATACTTCACCTGACAGAGTGCGGGGGTGGGGGGGGGGGTGGGGGGGGGGTGGGGGGGGTGGGGGGCGCGGTGGCAGCTCCTGAGAATTGCAGGCCAGGACCTGAACTGTGGAAACTGGGGCCAAGGGGGTTTTCATCCATAGAACAGCTTGTTCTGGGCCTTCCCAGATGTTTTCCATCATTTCCAGATGTTCAGATGAAAAAAACATTTCTCTGAAAAGGTGTCAGATGTTCAGCTCATGGAACAAACAGCCTAGGAATAAGAACATCACCTGAGGTCATCATGGGGATCCTGGGCCCCATTTCTGATATTGGGGTAGCTGCAGAGAGACAAGCCAAGGGAGCGGGACAAAGTCCAGATGTCTCCTGTGCCCCTCCTGAGTCAGTTAGCTTTGGGGCTCGTGTCCCCAAGAATGGGGGATACCAAGGAAGGCTTAGTGCACACATGTGTGGGAGTATACACTTCCGTGTGTTGTCTGGGCTATGTGGAGCTGGTTCTGGGGTTCAGATGATGGTGGGCAGCGGCAAGGACATTGGCAGGGGGCAGTTGGCATCCTTCACACTCACTGCATTAGCATGCCCTGTGGGAGGGATGCAGATGTGCCCTTTGGACTTCATTCCCATTCATGGCAGGCCAAAGCTTTCAAGAGAGGTGAGCAGTGGGGCCCCATGACTTTGGGATTATTTGTCACAGTTGGGGCCAGGCTGTTCTCTTACTGGTGACAACAGTGCTGACCCCTGTCCTTGGTTTGTGATGCCCTTTTCCTTTCCAACACAGAAGGACTTATCACCACTCCTGCCCTGTCCCCAGCTGTCCTGGGCTACATCTGGTGGCTTCACCACCTTTTCAGGAAGATAACACCAAAATAAGGGTGGGAGGGCAGGGAAGGAATGAAGGGCTCAGAGTTAGGGAAGCAAGAAGGCAGGGATTCCAGGAAGGATGAGAATAGAAGGAAAAGAGTCTCAAACCTCTCCCTTCCTCTGTCTAGGTCTTCTGGGCCTCCAGGTACCTTTACCAGGAGGAGCCATTGGCTAAGAAGGACCAGGTTTCAATCCTAACCCATGTGTACCAGCTAGAGCCTGGGATAGTTCAGGTGTCCTTTGCTTGGGAGCATATGGTAATGTGCTAGGGCAAGGGAGAGGGTCATACTCTATAACTCTGGCATTCAAGGGCCAAGGGCTAATGACCCTGGTGGGACAGCAGCCCACAAAGCAGAGTTTCTCTGCCTTTGTTCCAGTAGTAGCCAGGAAGACAGCTCTCATGTCCCTGAGCTCTTCAGCTCAAGGCGAGTGCTCTACCATTTGAGCCACAGCACCACTTCCAGTTTTCTGTTGGTTTGTTGGAAATAATAGTCTCTCAGACTTTCCTGCCCAGGCTGGCTTTGAACTGTGATCCTCAGATCTCAGCCTCCTGAGTAGCTAGGATTACAGGCATGAGCCATTGGCACCCAGCAAATAAAAGTAATTTCAATAATATGTTCATGTGTGTGCATTCACATGTTTTTGTTTCTTGGTAGGGGGCGGTGTGCACTGGTAGTGGGGCTTGAACTCAGGGCCTGGGGCTCCCCTTTAGCCTTAGTTGTCAAGTCTGGTACTTTAACATTTGAACAATGCTTCCACTTATAGCTTTTTGCTGGTTAATTGGTGATATTCAATTACCATGATCCTCAGATCTCAGCTTCCTGAGTAGCTAGGGTTATAGGTGTGAGCCACCAGCACCCAGACCAATAACTTGTTCTTCATAGGGCTCTATGACCCAAGGCCATCTTGGGTCCTTGGAGAAGTGGAAGGGGAGCTCTGTGTGTGTGTGTGTGTGTGTGTGTGTGTGTGTGTGTGTGTGTGTGTGTGTGTGTGTGTGTGTGATTTTGAGATAGGATCTTATGATACTTGTGTCCTACCCAGTGTTTTGTCTTTTTCCTCTGCCATTCAGGGATGCAGCAGCACTAGGCCAGAGAAGAAAAGCCCAGATAAGGTCAGGAGAAACAAAGTGAGAAGAATTGATTTCCAGATGGAGGTTGGAACCTTAGCCGGCTCAGAAAATCCTAGAGCTACGGAACACCCTCCTCAACAGGCAGAGAACTTGGGAGTAGAACAATCAAGCAGGGACAATTGAAGGACATCTTGGGGGTAGTCTGTCTCATGAGTGCCCCTCATCTCTGTGTCTTGGAACCTTAGGCAAAGGGGTACAGAAACCCTGGAAAGGAGGAAGCCTTCACAAGCTTAGCGGAAGTCAGCCAATCTTGGGAGTCAGAAGTTGTTAAGCCACATGTCATCCGGTGGACCTGTGACCATGTTTGCTATATGAGAATGTTCTCTTACACTCAGTTCTCTGTGGCTCTGAGCTCTCTGGGGTCAGGGCAACCCTCTGAGCCTCACAGGTGCCTTAAGGTCTCTGAAGAGGCCTAGGGGAAGAGAGCTTCTGAGGGCAGGGTTTGGGACCAGTGTATTTCCTGGACACAGCCTGTTGGTGAAAGGAGGAGTATGATAATGGGCAGGCCTTCTCCTCTTCCTTTTGCATCACCCTGTGGGCACAGCCTGTTTGCCAAGGCCCATGGGCCAACGCTTGTGGCCCTTTCTTCTTGCTGCTCTCAGCCCTTACCCAAAAGCACACAGGGAGTCCCAGAAAGGAGAAATCCACACATCAGAAGGACCTAGGGAAGGTTTATTGTAAGAACTGTACAAAGAAGCTTGTCTGCCAGCCTGGTGTGGGGCTGGTTCCCCCTGGGACCAATTGGGAACAGGTGTCAGTCTACATGGGAGGGGACCAAACCCTGCTCATTACTTCTCTGCAGTTGGTTCCCAGTGTGTGAACACCCACCCGGTAGATTCCTGAGGCTGTGGGGTGTTGTGGGTTGGGGCCTAAGCAGGGAAGGCAGAGAAGCAAGGTAGTGAGCAGGGGGAGCCTGGCCCTCGCTGGAGGAACTTCTGAAAGAGTCCACAAGGAAGGACCTGACATCTTCCACAGAAAAGGCTCATCAGGGAAAAAGAGATGGGACTGAAGCCATGGGTGTGAGGACAAGAAGCAGGATCGAAGGATGCATGAGAAGGGAGGGAGATGGAAGGGAGGGGACAGCAGGGCAGACAGTAAGGGAGATGCCTATAGGCACACACAGATGTGAACACACACACACACACACACACACACACACACACGTACACATTCATCTCAATTTCAAGGTTTTGCTGCTTCCTGAGTTTTAATCAAACTGCTTATGTAGAACAAGAAGAAAAAGAAGAGGAACTTAGTCCAATGGGGGACTCTGTGCAAACCTTACCACGTGTTTACATTCACTCCAACTCTCATAGCACACTCTTCCCTATTCAGGCACATTTACACGAACAGAGTTATACAGAAGACCAAGGACAACACTCCAGGGCACACTTGACACACACAGAAACAAAGATACTCAGACATAGCATGTATCTTTAGGCACCTCTACACAGTGGCTCACTCCCAGCTATCCACTAGACACACAGTTGCACAGGTATGCATACAGTGACTGAATCCAGAGACCCCTGAGCAGAACTTTCACATCCTCCTTTAAACCTAACCTCCATCCTCTGGGAGCCAACAAAGCCTACTGTAGCCATGTCCAGATGAGCAGAGCCAACAGAACTAGCTTTCCAGGCAGTAGGAAGTTGGAAGGCTGAGCCCAAGCCAGCGGAGCCTCCTCTACTACCTGCCCCAGTGTCAACACATGAGTCCACGTGAGTTCAACTCTAACATTCTTCGGTCATATTTTGAGGAGGTGGAGAAGGATGACGAGGGAGGAAGAGTTGGGCAAGGGGTGAGATAAGAAGGGAGACATCTCTGCAGCTTGCTGGGGCTACAAGAAACCCTGGTGGTCTAATGAAGGTGTGAGGAGGGAAGAGTGGAAATGAACAGAATCTTCTGCACCCCTGACCCCACTGGCATCTTGCTGCCAAGTGTTTCAGCAGAGCTGGCAGGACGCAGCCTGTTCTACCCATCCATGATTCCTAAAAAAGGGCAGTTCCTGGAATCCCGTCTTCTGCTCTTCCCCTGAAGGCCAGCCAGGGGAGTTCTCCATGGCCTGGATATGGCCACAGGCAAAAGGTTTCAGAAGTCACAATCCAGCCAGATGCCTCAGGAGCCTGTGGCCAATCAGGTTCCTGTAGTAATTTCTGGACCAGTAATATTTCCAGGGTAAAACCAGGGAATTCCTGAACTGGCAGGGGAAATGTGCGCCCCAGAATCAGGAAGGGAGAGCTGGCCGAGCCCTGGGGAAGGGCATCTCCACTCCTGAGGTTAAGACTTGTTTCTATCCAGGCTGGAGCTGAGGGACCGCTTCCTGGGAAGAAGCCAGTAGTCCTTATGACACTGGGGCAGGCGAGACAGCCATTTCCTCCGTCGTAGGCTGTTTCCTCCCAACTCATGGGTATTCATTTTGCCATCCCTCAGGCAAGAGAAGTGGCAACAGAGCCCCACGGAGGTAAGATGAGGTCCTCAAAGATGGAATCAAGGCGGACCCCATCTGCAGTTCCGTTGGCCTAGGTATCAGCCCCAGCCTGACCAACTCCTGACCCCCACAAAGAAGCTGGACGCATCCCCAAACTCAAAACCCCACTCCCTTGTTCTGCACACAGGCCCCTCTGGGGGGAGCTCTGGGCCCCGTGCTTAGGCTCAGCTGGCGGCTTTCATGCTGCCTGCTAGACAAGAGACTCTTTGACCCCTGGGCGCACTGTCTGTCCTGGTGGAGGGGCAGGGGGTGGGGCAGGATCTGAGGGGCTGACAGGTGTGAGCCCCGCGGGGGGTCCCTCAGCCCCTGTAGAGCCTTCCTCCTCCCCCTGACTGTGGACGCTGCAGTGGCCTCCGTTCTCACGGCCATACATCTTGTTCATGGCACTGGCGATGAGTCCTTCCTTCTCTGGGGCCTCATCCGCGCTGCCATCCTGGCTGTGGCGGTACAGGTAGGATGCCTGCTTCACAGAGCGCTGCAGCAGATGCCGGCGGTAAGCCCTCTGGATCTTGATGGCACACACCTCCTCCTGCTTCCTCTTGAGGGTGGTGGTGATGGGCTCGTAGGAGACCTTGGAAGGATTGGCTGCCATGAATTTCTCCTCCATTGTCTGCTTGAGGGCATCCATTTCCCCAGAGTCGCCCAGCACCTCTTTGGTGAGGGCAAAGAGGATGTCCAGGCAGTGGATCTTGTCCCCTGGCACCATGGGCAGGTCCAGTGTGATGAGCTTGATCTTGTTGGGCTTGGCAATCTTCAGCGGCTCCTGCAGGGTGTCCACGAAGTCGGAGAGTCGGTTGTAATCAATGAACTGTGTGGCATCCGGGTCAAACTTCTCCCACGTCTCATAAAACATCTCAAAGTCATCCTCACACAGGGGCTCGCTGCTCTCCTCCGTGGCCACATTGAAGTTCTCCAGGATGATGGCAATGTACATGTTGACCACGATGAGGAAGGAGATGATGATGTAGCTGCAGAAGAAGCAGATGCCGATGGATGGATTGCCACAGTCACCCTTGATATGGGTGCCTGGGTTCTCCAGGGTGGGGTCACAGTCTGGGGGCCCACTGTTGAGGATGGGGTTCAGAAGCCCATCCCAGCCAGCCGACGTGGTGATCTCAAAAAGACAGATGATGCTGTTGCCGAAGGTCTCGAAGTTGAACATGTCGTCGATGCCCGACTCTTTCTTGACATAGGCGAAGTTGGACATGCCAAAGATAGAGTAGATGAACATGACAAGGAAGAGGAGGAGGCCAATGTTGAAGAGGGCAGGCAGAGACATCATGAGGGCGAAGAGCAGCGTCCGGATGCCCTTAGCCCCACGGATCAGTCGCAGGACTCGTCCAATACGAGCCAGACGGATCACACGGAACAGCGTGGGAGACACGAAGTATTTCTGTATCAGATCGGAGAGCGCGAGGCCTACAGGGAGGAGGGGTAGAGTCAAGGGGTGGGGCACATGTTGCTCTGGGAGCCCAGCCTGTTGTGTTCTGCCTCACAGTGGGGCAGGTAGAGCCCAATCACACTGGGTTCTCCTGGAGGTCTTAAGGGGTCCCCAACGGTGACTTTGTCTTGTCAGCTGGAAGTGGGATATACTCAGGGCCTGGGTTCTTGTCCTATAGCTTTTGTGCTCAAAGCAAGTGCTCTACCAATTGAGCCACAGCGACACATCTGGTTAACTAGAGATAAAGTCTCACAGACTTCCCTGCCCTGGCTAGCTTTGAACTGCGATCCTCAGATCTCAGCCTCTTGAGTTGCTAGGCGGTAGCTCACAGGCTTAAACTACCAGCACTGGGCTCTGAGGAGGGGTGGTTGTTAAGGCTGTTTACAGATGACATTAGTGAGAGGAGATGAGGTACAGAATAGCCATGTGACTCCAGGCATGCCATTTGTCACTCAGTTTCCTCATCTGAAAAATGGGGGTAATACAGTAGCCATGTCATCACATTATTCTGCATAACAAGTAGGACTACAGAGTATGTAGTACAGTGCCAGGCATGTGGAAAATGCTCAATATATGATGCTCAGTTACATCATGGCCCCTGCTCTTCTTGGGGGGTACAGATCCTGTGATATAGATCCTGGATATGGGCACTAACATGCATCTATTGGTCAGGCCAATACATTTCTTGACATGTACTCACGTGTACACAGGTGACAGGTTGCCTGTGAGTATCGTGTACTTTCGTGTATAAAGAATGAAGGAAGCCAGGTGCCAGTGGCTCACACCTGTAATCCTAGCTACTTAGGAGGCTGAGATCTGAGGACAGTGGTTCAAAGCCAGCCCAGGCAGGAAAGTCCATGAGACTCTTATCTCCAAATAGCCACCAGAAAACTGGAAGCGGTGTGGTGGCTCAAAGTGGTAGAGTGCTAGCCTTGAGCATAAAAGCTCAGGGACAGCACCCAAGTCCTGAGTTCAAGCCCCACAACTAACAAAAAAAAATGAAGCATGTTATCTGTGATCCTAGTTACTTGGGAAGCTAAGAATAGAAGGATTGCCATTCAAAGTCAGCCAAGCTTTTTTTAAAAAAAGGCCACAAGACTCTTCAATGGAGGTAAACTGGAACATGGTGGATATGTCTGTGATCCCAGCAATTATTTTAGGGAAACCTAAAATAGTCAGATCCAGGCTTAGATACATGTCTAGATAGGAAGTGAATCCCTGTCCTAAAAATAACTGGTGAAGAACAGGGCTAGGGGCATGGCTCAGCAGTCCAGAGTACCTGCCTAGTAAGAAAGAGGGAGGTAGAAGTAGGAGGATCAAGAGTTCAAGGCTAACTTGGGCCAAGTGAAACCCTATCTCAAAAACAAAAGATAAAACAAAAGGCATAGCTCAAGCCAGTAATCCTAGCTACTCAGGGGTGGAGATTGAGGGATCACAGTTGAACATAACGGGACTCCACCTCAACCAGTGGCAGACAGAATGGCAAGCCCTTGCTCTCCCACATTACTGGGGAAACACAATAGCTGAGCACAGTGTGTGCACCTGTCATCCCAGCAACAAAGGGAAATGTGAACAGGGGGACTGCAGTCCAGGACATCCTGGGCATCAAGCCAGACCCTATCTTGAAAACCATCAGTGCAGAAAGAGAAAGTGTGGCAGGGACACCCATGAGAGTCTGTGTAGCTGAGTGTGCCAGGTGCATGCATAATGTGTGCTTGCACAGGGCCAACCTTCCTAGGGGATGAAGGGTTCATCCCAGGGCTGCCTTTCCAGCTCACCCACGATGGACAGGATGACCACCACAAAGTCGAAGATGTTCCAGCCGACAGTGAAGTAGTAGTGGCGCAGCGCGAACATCTTGAGCACGCACTCCCCGGTGAAGATGATGATGAAGACCATGTTGATATTGTACAGGATGTCCACCTTGAGCTGGCTCTGGTCGTCTGTCTCGACCATCATGGTGACCATGTTGAGGCAGATGAGGATCATGATGGTGATGTCGAATACCTGCTTCGTCACAAAGTCGTACACCATGCCCTGGATTTTGTTCTGCACACGCGTCAGAGTGCCGGCACACACATGAGTGAACATGAGGGTGGAGAGGAGAGGAGAGGGGAGGGGAGAGGGGAGGTGGGGAGGGGAGGGGAGGGGAAAGGATGTGGGAGGAGAGGGGAAAGGAGGTGGGAGAGGAGGGGAGGAGGAAGAAGAGAAATGAAAGAGGGAGGGAGGGAGAGAGAGAAAGAGAGAGAGAGAGAGAGAGGCATCAGGGCTAGTGGTGGGATCGGCCATGCAAGGGAAGGAGCATTTCATTCTGTGGGTCTGTGGGCATTCCTTCCTCATTCTAGAACCTTCCTTCAAGGTCCTCTAGTCCCCCTTCTCTCGAAGTCACTGCTCACTGGACATCCTCCTCCACCCCCTGTCAGGGGCCCTGCCCTAGGAACCACCAAAAATCACACATGAAGATGTGGATGGCCACCAGGGGCTGTGCAGGGCCAGTGAGGGGACTCTAGCAGCAGGTGCTATGTGTGCCAGCAGCGCTGAGGGGCCTCACCACAGGCCACGTTCCACTCCCATCAGCCTCTTAAGGCAGAAGCCTACCAGGCATAGAGCAGAAGGGAACCATAGAGCTGGTACCTGGGGCCGGGGGATTGGCTTCTGGGGCTTCTTGGAGCCAAGCTTCTTCATGGCATTATAGTATTTCTTCTGTTCTTCTGTCATGAAGATGTCTTTTCCTCCAAAGTATAGTGGGAGAGGGTCTGTAAGGCTGGGGAGAGGGTCCCATTCTCTATCTCCAGGACCCTTTTCCTCTGGCACCATAAACCAGCCCCCACCCCCAAAGGAACTTGGTGAGAAATGGTTCCTAGAGAGAGGCAAGAGATGGAGGGATGAGGAAGGAAAGAGAAAATAGCTGAGAGGGGTGAAGAGTCCTGAGAAGGGAAAGGGGAATGGCAGGAGGAAGGGGACCTATTTCCCATTTCAGGTCCATTTCCATCAGTGTCTCATTGGATCCTTAGAATAATTTAGTTTGTTGTTATTTTTGAGACAGAGTCTCATTGTATAGCCAGGACTGGCTCCTCGGCCTCCCAAGTGCTGGGATTATAGATGTATACCACCACACCTGGCTCATATCCATTTCACTTTATAGACCAGCAAACCAAGTTTCAGGAAGATCAAGTCATATGTAATGTCCCTGGGTGGATTTGCATCCAGGCTCACCGTCTCAGTGACCCTTGACACAGGGCTGCTAAGAGCTGGGGGCTACAGGAAGGAATGAGGGGACAAGGGGGGAGCAAGGCAGCGGGATGGGGGGAGGCTGGAGGCGCAGGGAGGGTGGGCCAGATACTCATCTTCTTCTTCTGCTGGTTAAAGTTGTCGATGATGACACCGATGAAGAGGTTGAGCGTGAAGAAGGACCCGAAGATGATGAAGATGACGAAGTAGAGGTACATGTAGAGGTTCACCTCATACTGCGGCTGCTCTTCCTTCTGCAGGGGCCGGACGATGGGTCAGAGTGGGGGAGAGTCACACAGCTTTCTCCCTGTTCCCCAAAGTACTGTAAAGCCAGAGCCCCCTGCCTGACCCCAGGCTGTTGGGGCTCCTGAGATGACATGGTGTGGTGGAGACAGTAGAAGGTGTGGCGGGCCTCTCCTGCCCCTCCCCAGCAGGGGCTCAGTGAGCCGGACTCACCTCTCGAGAGTCCACAGCTGCATACATGATGTCCATCCAGCCCTTGAAGGTGGCCTGAGAGTGCAGTGGGGGGGGGGTGAGAAGAGAGCAGAGGGCTGCCCCTCCCCATGCACATGTCCCTCCCCTCCCCAGCCCTCCCTCCTCAGAGGCGAACTGCTCCAGCCCCATGAGGCAGGTGTCAAATGGGGACCAGAGAGATCGAGACACCATCTCAGGGTCCCACAGCCATTGCAAGCAGGATGGGACACTTCACAAAGCCGCAGCGGTAGAATGAGGCACAATGAGGCACTCACCACCTGCAGGAGCGAGAGGTAGCCCAGACCCACGTTGTCGTAGTTGACCTTGACGTTGAGCCAGCGGACCTGGCCTGTGTGCATGAGGCTTTCACACTGCGACTTGTTGTTGACCTCCGAGATGTCAAACCTCTCTGAGGTGGTGGTGTTGATGCAGTAGTAGAACTTTCCAGCAAACAGGTTGACGCCCATGATGCTGAAGATAAGCCAGAAGATGAGGCACACCAGCAGCACGTTCATGATGGAGGGGATGGCTCCCAAGAGGGCGTTCACGACCACCTGGGGGCCAAGGTGGGATGTCAGAGTCCTTCCCATGCCCCTGAGCCCATCCCCCCTTGGGGGAGGGGTGGATTAGAAGAGCCTTCAGGAAGGAGGGCCCCTCTGAGCCCAGGGGGAGAAGCCATCTGCTGGAGTGTATGTGTGTGGGGTCAGGGGCAGGGCTGGGGTGCTGCTGGTCTGGGGGTGGGGGAGGGCTCTCTGCTTGGCTGGAGCTACCAGGTAAAGTGGGGGACTCCAGGCTTCTTTGGAAATAGCCGTGTCATGGGCCACTAAGCATGACACAAACACTTCCCTCCATAGGAAACTCTGCTCACATGAGCTGTCCCCTGATGATGGGCTCATGCCCTTAGCGACAGAGAAACAGAAACGATAGAGCAAAAAAGGCCATCACAGTGCGCCAAGCATCATGACCCCAAGCGCTGGAGCTTTGTTCTCTATGATCCCCAGCCACGTGACTCGCCAAACTGTTCTAGCCAATTGTCCTTTTTTCTTTTAAGGAGGAGTCAGATCATGACCTTCAGACAGAGCTAGTTGCTGGGGTTAGTCTCAGGTACCCAGGGGAGCTCCACTCCTGCAAGTACGTGGTTGTGAACAGGTTTTTGTTTCCCCCCTCAGTGGGGATGGGTCCCCCACTTCAGGCCTGGGCCTGGTCTTGGCGGGCTTCTTGCATGAACAGGAGGTCCCTGTGGAGGAGGTCTTGCTCCTGACAGACCTCCCTTGGCTGGGGACATCCAGTTGTTGGTCTTATCCCCGACCCTGTGTTCACCTGTCACTTCTGCCTCCAAGAACTTCAAGGGATCTTCTCTAAATTGACACCCCCAAGCTCAAGGGGAGTCTCTCATCACAAACCTGAACTTGAGGAGGGGGGCGGGGCAGGATTCTTCATGCCTGCTAATGTTTCAGGACCCTGGGGGACCCCAGTCTGAGGTGAAACCCATAACCCACAGGTCTGCGGGCCTTCTCTCAGCCTTGAAGCCTTCTGGCCTCTCAGGCAGCCTCTGCTGCCTCCCAGTGGTAGAAGAGACAAACTACTCTGCTTCCCCGCTGTGGTACCAGAATGTGCACCTCTCCTCCACTCTGTCCTAGGGACCCTTGCTCCCCAATCCAAAGCCCTTCTCAGGAGCCCTTCAGTACACACCCTCATGCCTTCAAATCGAGACAGCGCTCTCAGGGGACGCAGGGCCCTCAGTGTGCGCAGAGATTTGATGGGTCCCAGCTCCGAATAGCCCAGCCAGTTGGCTACCAGGCTGATGATGGAGACCTGTAAAAGAAGGGATGCATGATCAGAGAGTTTGGAGTCCTGGCCTCTCTACCCACGCTCAGGACACAGGTAGACAGCCCCATTCAGGAGGGGGCCCTCATGAGTTCACAACTCCTGGTTATCTCCTTTGGACCCTCCCTCCTTTATTTTTCTTTTTAGCAGTGGCCCTGGATAGTGGGAAGAGCAGCCCTGTGCCCAATCTTAGCACCCCCTAGAGCATGGGCCCACCTCAGTGAGGTCACCAGTTAATTGGAGATGATGGTAAACAAGAGGGACAGTGCCCACCTCCTTCACTAACGTGTGTGCCCATCTAGGAGAATGTGAGCCGGTACCAACTGCCCACACCTATAATCCTCTCTACTCAGGGGGCTGAGACCTGCAGCTCCTGGTTTGGAGCTGGTCTGGACAAGAAAATCCATGAGACTCTTATCTCCAATTGACCACCAAAAAGTCAGAAGTGGAGTTGTGTTTCAAGTGGTAGAGCAAAAAAGCAAAGGGACAGTGTCCAGGCCGAGTTCAATCCTAGTACCAGTACAAAAAGAAAAAAATGGGTTGGAGGCATGGTTCACTTGATAGAACTAGCCAATGAGCAAAAGTATCAAGTGCTGAGTTTGAGTCCTGATCTCAGACCAAAAAAAAAATTTTTTTTAAAGATGTGAAAAATCCTCCCCACATCTTGGCAAGGTCATAAGGACCCCAGGCCGGCCGGCATACCCCACAGGAAAAAGGCAGGCCTCCCCCTGCCCCCCTCTGCTGTATCTGATATATGTAAGAGGCTGTTTTTTTTTGTGAAGGGCAGCACTGATTGGAGGTAGCGGTAGGGTTGTCTTTCTCTCCATGTGTTCTTGGACAGGTCCTACCTCTCAGGGCCTGGGCTCTTTAAGGTTCTTAGCCATAACCAGCCTGGAGGTCTGGAGGTGGCCAGGCAGACTCACATCCACGATGAGGAAGTCAAGCCAGCACCAGGCGTTGGTGAAGTACACCTTGAAGCCGTACGCCACCCACTTGAGCAGCATCTCCACAATGAAGATGTAGGTGAAGACCTTGTCCGCATATTCCAGGATGGTGCGGATGACACGCCGCTGCTCGATATAGATGTCCTCGAAGGCCTGGGGGGTACCAGCATGACTCTGCAGGTAGCCCTGGACCCAGGTGCTGGGGCAGCAGTTGCATCCCCTTTTCCCGCCTACAGCTGCTGGTTCCCAGGGCTCTGAGGTGGGAGCCAGATGGGGGGCCTAGGAGATGGCTGCGTATCTCTCCCAGCCCCAGCCCCATCATAGAAGCTATTAGCTTCACAGTGGAGCCTTGATTCTTGAGTATCTGCTTGGGTTGCACAATGATACCCTTCTGTCCCAACCTAAACCCCAAATTTCCAGGGGTCACCCACCTCCCCACTGACCAGGGGTGCATACAATGGCAGTCTAGAGAATAAGGGGTGGGGACATCTGTACTTCTAGGATCCGGTGGGTTCAGGGTTGTCCAGGAAGCATCCATGGCTGGCGTGGGAGGCAGAGATCCTTAGGGGGAGCTTGGCCTTTGCCCTTCCCACCCTCCCCGCCCCCCCCCCCCCGGGTGTCACTTACTAGAGCCCCACTGCTGAGCAGAATCATGAAGACAATGAAGGTCTCAAACCAGTTGTGCTCAACAATCTTGAAGCAGGCCCTGCGAAGGGTCCACCACATCTTCCCACGGCCCTGGGAGATGTCCACATAGAGGCAGGGACATCGCTGCACACAAGCTGCAGGGCAGGGCATGCACCATGGTCACGGGCCTGGGGCTGCTTCAGGATGCCCTCAGACCCGGGCCTTGCCTCTTCCCCACCCCTGGCTACACCTGGCTCACGTTGGAGGCTCAAGTCCACAGTCTACCCTACCCATGTGTCAGCTGTGACCAGGGATGGACACTCAGAAGAAAGGCAACTCTGAGCCAGGCACTGGTGACTTATGCCTGTCATCCTAGCTATGCAGGGAGCTGAGATACGAAGATTGAAGTTTGAAGCCAGCCTGGACAGATACACTGGAGAGACTCTTATCTCCAATTCACCTCCAAAAGGCCAGAAGTGGAGCTATGGCTCAAGTGGTAGAGCACCAGCCTTGAGTGAAAAAGCTAACGGATGGTGCTCAGGCTTTGAGTTCAAGCCCCAGTACCAGAACAAAGAGAAAAAAAAGGGGGGAATACCTGCAAGTAGGGACTCAGGACACCAGCTGCCCCCATCCTCTCCCACCTCCCTAAGCCAGCCTTACTCTGGGCCAGCGAGGCACCAGGCCCCGGTGGAGGCTCCAGCCTGGCAGTGCGCTCACCTTCGGTGAAGCACTCCTCAGGCTGCTCTCCCTCGGGGTTCTCCTCGGCCTGCTCCTCAGGGTCTTCCTCGGGGGGCTTGTAGTCAGCTGTGCTGCAGACGGAGGAGTTCCCATCATAGAGGGGTGGAGGCGGCTTCTGCAGGGGCCACAGAGGCATGTAAAATCCCAAGACCCAAGACTCCCTCATCTTCCTGCCAGGTGGGGCGGATGTGAGACCAGAGAGAAAGCATTCATTCACTCATTCATTCATTCATTCGCTTAGTCCTGTGCAGAACCCACTGTGCCCTGGCCGATACACCAATGACAAAGATGGCCTCGGTCCTGCCCTCCTGGCACTTGTAGCCCGGAAAAGGGCAGTGAGGGCCTGAGGAGACAGACAAGGACTTCCGGTAGAGGAGGAGGCTGGGACAGGAGCTGGGGTAGGGAGGACTCATGGGGGGCTCAGCCAGCTGAGGTCCTAGGAGTCAAGGGGACAAACAGGAAAAGCTACCAGAAGGTTCTAAGGCAGGGGCAGGGGCAAGTAGAGGGTCAGGATGGAGCTGGGCTACTGTAGCCCACAGGAAACAGGTATGTGGCACCCTCCGCATCTGCACCTTCCACCCCCAGGGTCCGTTTGGCTGAGGGATCCAAAAAGGATGGAAAAATTTCCCCAGCCAAGGCCCTAGCTGGGCGCCAAGGGAACTTGATCAGGGTGGGGGTGGGGTGGGCACTGCCGCTCCAGGCTGACCAGGCCTCCTCCCACTGACCAGTGCTGTCCCAGGACAGCTTTCCTATGCTGACCTCCACTCCCCAAGGCGTGTGTGTGTGTGTGTGTGTGTGTGTGTGTGTGTGTCTTTCATGGCTGGGGATGGGGGCCCTGAAGAGGAAGAGGAAGCAGGCAGCCTAGAGAGGTAGGAAATGGGGGTGCAGCTCTGCCTCCAGTACCACTGACCAGAAAATAGGGTGGGCGACTCTTGTTCCCAGTTGATAGAAATGGAAACTGAGGCACTCCGACTAGGTCAGCTAGGGCATCTGCTGAACTGTTTGTCCCACTGTGTACTGGTCACCCATGATCACCCTTGGAGCTGTGTTCATCCCCCAGGGGCTCCCCTGCACTTCCTTCTGGGGCCTGGTCCTCTAGCTGAACCCCTCCCCCACCAAGTTCTTCATACCGAGGTGCAGACTGGTGCCATATTTCCAGGGGGTATTTATAGCACGGCAGGCACTTGGCCCCCTGGTAAGCCAGCTTGCTACATATTTGGGGAGAATAAGGAGTCAAGAGATTTCAGGACAAAGGTCATTAGGCTCCAGTCCTCAGCAAGGGCCACAGTTGGCATGGTGGAATGGGCAGGGCCCTGTCCTGGCTCATGCCAGGGCTGCAAGCTGGGGAAGGGGGCTCCATATCAGCTCCCCCAGGAGCCCCAGGAAGTGTCCCAGTCTCAGTTCTAGTCTCTGGGGGTGACCACTATCTGCATCTCAGTCCCCACTTACCCTGAAAAGGAAGGGGGACAAGGACAGGACATCAGCCCAGCAGCAAGGGCCCTGTGTGGGCTGGGCAGGTGAGGGCTCCTGCCTGAGTTCGCTAAGCCTCTCATCCCCAGTGTCAAAGGTCCTCTAGCTCCTGTCCCAAGTTCCTGGCTGATCCTGGGAGGTTGAGATCAGCCTTGGGTGGGGTGCAAATGTAGCTGACTATAACAGCTTGACAGGGGCTTCAAGCCCAGAGCCGGCATTTAAGAGAAAACCTCTGGGGTTCCAATCCTAGAGTGAGGAGCCACAGGTCAGGGCATCTTGTTCACAAGTGCCCCCTGCTGGTGAGAGCAGGCCAGGTGGAGTTTTGGTATGGCACATCCCTGAGATCATGTTAATTACAGAACACTTCTTATGTACTTTGCACGTAGTATGTCATAGAATGCTCACTACACCCTGGGGCAGATATCATGAGTCCCATTTTATAGATGGAAGAGGGGAGTGTTGGATAGCATTTGTGCTGGTCCTAGATCCCAACTGGAAGCCAGGTCTCTCTGGCCGCTGTCCCTCTAGGCTGGGTTCTAAGGAGAGACTCACCTTGATGTCCTCAGGCTCTGAGAATGTGTCAGTCTCCTCCTCAGTGGGCATCTCCAGATCTGACTCCTCGGAGGCAATGGGCACCTGGATAGTCAGATAAGGGTTATTGATGAAGTTGAGGTGGTCCAGCTCGATGCTGGTAGGTGTGCCGTTAGCCAGGCCCACGTGGTTGAGGATGTGATTGTTCTTCTTCAGGTCCTTGTCCCCCTCATCAGGTGGCAGCTCCTTCTTCTCATCCTCAGGGGCACTGTCCCCAGCTTCTCCAGCCTCTCCAGTGCCCCCAGGCTCCCCAAGGCTCAGCATTATGTCCTTGGGGCTCAGGACCTTGCCATGTAGCAGCCCCAGGAGGAAGGCCTTGGCGAAGCCAATACCCCACTTGATGCGCCCGATGGCGATCTGTAGGTTGTTCATCTCGCCATCTTCATCCGAGGCTGCTAGGCTATCAGCGCTGAAGGAGCTCAGCAGGAGAGCCAGGAAGAGGTTCAGGACCTGGGAAGCAAGAGTTGGGAGACCCTTAGGCCAACCTCTGGCCCCTTCTGCCAGTGCAAGGGGCCTCACGTATATACATCAGACCTGCTGTGTGTTGGGCATTTAAGATGCTACCTAGCCCAATGTTTATAACTGTGTCAAGAGGGCAGGACTATTGTTATACCCACCTGGCAGATAGGGACACTGAGGCTTGAGCCTCAGGGAGAGGGCTCTACAGGGGCAGGGTTTAGAGAGTTGCCCTGGGAAAATGAGACTCTTGGCTCTGTCTTCTACTTCCTCTGAAAGGAAATAGAAAATGGGACTCAAGTCTCTACATTTCTTGAATTCATTGGGAAGCTTCATCTTTTTTTTTTTTTTTTTTGGTCATTTGCGGGGCTTGAACTGTGGGCCTGGGCACTGTCCCTCAGCTCTTCAGCTCAAGGCTAGTGCTCTACCACTTGAGCCACAGTGCTACTTCTGTTTTTTTGGTGGTTAATTGGAGATAAAAGTCTCACTGACTTTCCTGCCTGGGCTGACTTTGAACCACAATCCTCAGATCTCAGCTTCCTGAATAGCTAGGATTACAGGAGTGAGCCACCAGTAGCCGTCAAGGGAATCTTCCAGTCTTCCCTTCCTCATTTGTTAGGAGGAGCCAGGGGTCCCCTGTGCTCAGCCGCCTGTCCCCTGTGGCTCTGGGGTTTCCTACCCTACCTATTCCGAGTTCCCTGCTGCCATCCCCACTCCAGGCATTTAAGAGGCTACTGGTCACCCCCCGTGTCCTGCTTCATTCTCCAGGGGGAAGTTACTAAGCCCTGGCCATTGTTGGTGAGAAAGTTGTTGTCTCTAGGCCTAGAGGCAGACTCTGTATCAAATATCATACTATGGATTTAGTTGGCAATAGAGACGGAAGTGCACAATTTTGAAAATATTTTTGTGGTATTGGGGTTTTGAACTTGGGTCTTGGTGCCTGTTAGGCAAGTGCTCTTACCACTGAGCCATGCCTCCAACCTTGATTTTTTTGGTCAATCATGGAGCTTGAACTCAAGGGCCTGGGCGCTGTCCTTGAGCTTTAGCACTCAAGGCTAGTACTCTAGCACTTTGAGCCACAGTGCCACTTCTGGGTTTTCTGGTGGCTAGTTGGAGATAAGAGTCTCACAGACTTTCCTGCTCAGGCTGGCTTTGAACCACAATTCTCAGATCTCAGCCTCCTAAGTAACTAGGATTGCAGGCATGAGCCACTGGCACCTAGCCTTTTTTTTAATTTTCAAATTTAAAAAATTATCCTCCTCCTCCTCCTCCTCCTCTCCCTCTTCCTCCTCCTCCTTCTTTTTCTTTTGTCAGTGGCAGGGCTTGAACTCTGGGCCTGGGCTCTGTCCCTCAGCTCTTCAGCTCAAGGCTAGCACTCTACCATTGAGCCACAGTACCACTTCCAGTTTTCTGGTAGTTTCTTGGAGATAAGAGTCTCACGGGCTTTCCTGTCCAGGCTGACATTGAGCCATGATCCTCAGATCTGAGAGTAGCTAGGATTACAGGTGTGAGCCACTAGCGCCTGGCTAAAAAATTATCTTTAAGTAGTTGTATGAAGGGGTTTTAATTTAACATGTCAGCTTGTGAGTACAGTACACCTTGATTAATTTCACCCCTTCCATCATTCTCCCCTATCTCTCCCAATACCACACACTCTCAAGTTTATGTTAGGCTTTTGTGGTAGCTAGGATAATAGGTATGTACCACCATTTCATTGAGAAGGTCTTACAAACTTTTTCTGCCCCTCAAATCATGATCTCAACAATCTCAGCTCCCCAGTCCCCCACCCCCAGGCCCAAGTAGCTAAGATTACAGGCAGGAGCCACTGGGCACCCAGCTTTATCTCAGCTTATCTGATATATATCCCAGGGCAAGTTACTTCCCTGTGCTATGCCTCGTGTTCTCACTTGTAAAGTGGGGATGGTTATATTATTCACGCTGTCACGACTTAAAAAGATCAATGTAAAAAAAGAAAGAAAAAAAGATCAATGTATTAGGTGCTTAAAAGATATTGGCTGCTGGGCGCCGGTGGCTCACTCTTATAATCCTAGTTACTCAGGAAGCTGAAATCTGAGGATCACAGTTCAAAGCCAGCCCTGGCAAGAAAGTCTGTGAGACTCTTATCTCTTATCTTCCAGAAAACCAGAAGTGGCACTGTGGCTCAAGTGGTAGTGCACTTGCCTTGAGCTGAAGAGCTGAGGGATGGCGCCCAGGCCCAGAGTTCAAGCCCCATGACCACAACAAAGTCAACAAAAAGATATTGCCTGTTCTTACATTAGCAAGACTAGAAAATTGCACAGAGTACATGAAAGAGCCTGATTAGCAATGAGACCACCTCGGTATTTAATAGATAAAGAAACAGTAGGAAGCATTGTTCCCCTTAGGACAAGACAACATAGTCAGAACTAGAAGCCAGATTCTCCCAATTTTAGAGACTACCATTTACTTAAACTACAATGTGAATGATCATCCCAGAGATATGCCGTGGCTCTTCCATCCAGACCCACATATCGCTGGCTGGTGGTGGGACGCAGGTGAGGCTGGCTGAGGTGAGAGGTCCTGTCTCCTGTCAGCCAGAAGAATAGCCAGGTTTGTACTTGGAGTCCTGACAGGCATACCTGTGCGAGGAGCTTATAGCTGTGACTGTATCGCCCTTGACTGTCCTCAGCCTCTGGCTTAACCAGTGCCTCCAAGGTCTTCTTGTCATGACCTTCGCAACCGTGTTATCTCAGTACTTTTAAAGAAATATTAAACTCCTCTTGGGGAGGATTTCCACCCACCCTGCTGAGTGTGTTCTCTAGCTCCCTCTCTGTCTCGGCCCCCCATCCACATTTACTGGTCTTTCTTCTCCCTGTCTGGGAGGGGGAGGGGGAGGCATCCAGTTGCCAGAAGCACATCTGAGATGGGAATTAGCTGCTCTCTGGGTCAGCAGGGTTTGCACACGGCTCCTGCTGAGGACAGAAATAGCCTTTCAGGCAAAGGAGGGGGTGGGGGTGGGGGGGAAGAAGAGGTCATGTTCCTCCACAAGGTGGGGTACCTATGCCCTAGTCACTTCCTCTTCTTTGCAGTAACCCAGAGGAAGTGACCAAGTGCATGGCTGCAGAGGGCCCGGGTCCTTAGCCCCCTGGCAGCGTGCCCTGTGCCCTCGGGCAGACACCTGCTTCTCCAAGGCCTTGTGGGGGTGACTGTAATCAGGGCACTTCCTGGTCTCTTCCTAGCTTCCTCAGATGTTCCCTCTCAGGACCCACAGGCCAGGGTAGGCCTATGGAGCGGTCCCACTGAGTGCTCCTGGGGGGGGGGGGGGACAGTGCTGAGATGATACCCCTCCCCCACTTGTCCCATCCCCCAGCCGGAGCTCAGCGATATCTGAGAAGCACTGACCCAGCCGCCCAAAGATCCCTCAGGCCTTTGAAGAACGTGGAGACGTGCATGCGTCTTCCACCCTGTTGACCAGGGTAGTGCCGGCCACCACAGGGGACAGCTGGGCACAGTACCATGGAGCCCTGACAAGAGTGAGTCTACTCCCCTCCTCAAGAAGGGGAGGAGCTTGTGGGCAAGGGAGGAGAGCCACTTGTACAGAAATGCTCAGCTGGACTGTAGCCCCACCCCCTCCTCCTGAGTCTTACACCCTGCACTGTCTCACATGCTCAGCCCTGGGCCACAGAAAAAGGCCAGAGGGGTGCAGTTTATGTCATTGCTGGATTCTCTCAGTGCCAAGTCTCCTGCATTTTTCCAGAGGTTGGGTTTACAGGCGGGAGAGGGTATGTGCAAAACAGTTTTGGTTGTCCACCCATAGAGACAGAAAACTCCTACACTCTTTCAGTCACTTGCCAGTTCTTACACTTACACTTAGAAACTTGACCTTGACCCTAAGGCCAAAAAGCTAAGGCCCCTGGCACCAGCTCACACTGAGCCTTTCTGTACACTGGCCAAACAATTTTCCCATGACCCGGGGAAGTTCCTATTCTTTTTCTCCCACATGACAGAGAACTAGCCTGACTAGTCATCTGTTCAAAATAACACAGACAATAATGAGGGAGCTGGTACTGAAATGTAGGATTGTCTGAATCCTTATCACTTTGTTCAAAATGCCAGCCTGGAGCAGAAGCAGCAGTGTCACTTTGCAGGTGTCTGAAATACAGATTCCCAGGGTTTGACTCAGCACCAACCTCAGATTCTCTAGAGGTGGAATTAAGAATCTGTTTTTAAGAAACTCTTAGTGGGGCTGGGAATGTGGCTTAGTGGTAGAGTGATAGCCTAGCATTCATGAAGCCCTGGGTTTGATTCTTCAGTACCACATATACAGAAAAAGCCAGAAGTAGCACTGTGGCTCAAGTGGTAGAGTGCTAGCGTTGAGCAAAAGAAGCTCAGGGACAGTGCCCAACCCCTGAGTTGAAGCCTCAGGGCTGCCCCCACCTCCAAATAAACTCAATAATTCTTTTTTTTTAAATGGAGGTTTGAACTCAGGTCCTTGTCCTTGTTAGGAAAGAGTTCTACTATTTGAACTATGATTCCCATACCTTTTTAATTTAGTTGCTTTGCAAACAGGGTCTCATTTTTTGCTAAACTGGCCTGATATACTTAAGCTCTTCACTGTGGCTGGATTCACAGGTATCATACCCAGCTTTTTTTTTTTTTTTTGCTTTGTTTTTTTTTTATTAGTTAGAGATAACAGCCTCATAGACTTTCCTGGCTTTGAACCTCAACCCTAAAATCTCAGCTTCCTGAATAGCTAGGATTACAGGTATGAGTCACTGAACCCAGCTCTCTGATTCTTAACAGGGTTAAGATTTGAGAATCACTAGGTAAAGTCCTATAAAATTCCATATTAGGGGGTGGCAGGTTAGAAGACAGAAAACTTCAAAATACCAACAATTCCGTACAGTTTGCCCTCCTAGGAACAAGGCCCTCCGATGACAAGACTGACATCAAGAGAAACAGAAAGAGACATGGGAAGCCACCCAGCCAGTGTCACTCACCACCAGGTTGCCGATGACCATGACCATGAGGAAGACTGTGAGACACATGGCCTGGCCGGCCACCTCCATGCAGTCCCACATGGTCTCGATCCATTCCCCACACAGGATGCGGAAGACAATGAGGAAGGAGTGGAAAAAGTCATGCATATGCCAGCGGGGCAGGTTGCAGTCTGAGGCGATCTTGCACACACACTCCTTGTAGCTCTTGCCAAACAGCTGCATGCCCACCACAGCAAAGATGAACACGATGATGGCCAGCACCAATGTCAGGTTGCCCAGCGCCCCCACCGAGTTGCCGATGATCTTGATGAGCATGTTGAGCGTTGGCCATGACTTGGCCAGCTTGAAGACCCGCAGCTGCCAGACAGAGAAAGGGCAAGGGGGAATGAAGCTGGAGAATCACCCCTCCCCCCCCCCCCCCCCCCCCCGCCCCAGGGAGACCTAGAATCAGGAGACAGAATGATTTTGCGTAGCCTGAAGCCACCATTTGTCTCCCTATTAAATGGAATTCATGTGTGTTAAAAAGGGGGGGGGGGGGAGGAACTATTGAAATGAACTCCAGGAAATGGAAACAAGAGGTGTTTTTTTTTCCTCTCTTTTTTTATTTTTTATTTTTTTGGCTGTGTTTTTCTTCTCTTTTTTGTTATGTTTGTTCATTTATTTGTCTTTGGGATTGTAAAGGGAAGCACAGAAATGGTGGGACAAAAGTGGAAAAAATACAGCAGTTGCATTCACTGGACACTATGTTGAAAATGAACTATACAACTTGTGGGTGGGGGTCGGGAGGGAAAAACTTGGAGAGAGAGTGGGAAGGGGTGATATTGTCCAAAAGGAATGTAGTCATTACCTGACTTATGTAACTGTAATCCCTCTGTAAATCACCTTTACAATAACAATTAAAACATTAATAAAGGGGTGGGAAGGTAGCTCAGTGGTAGAGTGCTTGCCTTGCATGCATGAGGCACTGGGTTCTATTCCTAGAAAAAGCCTGAAGTGGCGCTGTGGCTCAAATGGTAGAGCACTAGCCTTGAGCTGAAGAGCTGAGGGACAGTGCCCAGGCCCAGAGTTCGGGCTTTATGACCACCACCACCACCAACAACAACAACAATAATAATAAAGAAAAAGAGAAAAAAAATGTTGGGCTCGTGCCTATAATCCTTGCTACTCAGGAGGCAAAGATCTGAAGATCATGGTTCAAAAACAGCCTGGGCAGAAAAGTCTGTGAGACTTTTAGCATCAATTAACCAGCAAAAAGCTAGAAATGGAGCCGTAGCTCAAGTAGTAGAGTGCCAGTCTTGAGCAGAAAAAAACTAAAGGAAAGCACAAGGCCATGAGTTCAAGCTTCAGTACTGGCGCAGGGCAGGGAGGAGGGGTGGGGGAGAGAGACTCTTAAGTATTCACATGTGAAAAAATAATTTAACAGCCCCTACACCCCCTGATATCAGATTGGTCTTCCCAGCCCTGTGGGCTGAGGAAGGAGGGTTCTTTCTCTCTTTCTCCTGGTTTATGGGCAAGGGAAGTTCTGTTAGGCCCAGTGGCATGCACAGGGCAGTGGCACTTCTGGAGGCATTTCCTCCTACCCCTTGCTCAGCCTCTGGCTTTGTGGGTATGGCGTACCAGACGGAAGGAGCGAAGCACCGACAGCCCCTGCACATTGGCCAGGCCCAGCTCCACCAGGCTGAGGGTGACAATGATGCTGTCAAAGATGTTCCAGCCCTGCTGGAAATACTCATAGGGATCCATGGCGATCAGCTTCAGCACCATCTCTGCAGTGAAGATGCCAGTGAAGACCTGCAGAGTGGACAGGTCTGGTCACAGAGCCTCCAAGGACACAGGGCCTTGGGAGCCTCCCAGACTACTCCCAACCAAGAGAGAGCTCTGAGAGAGACAAAGAACTCACATGTGAGTGGCAGGTGCAAAGACCCTGTCATAGGCAGGGATGGGTACAGCTCAGAACCATTCCCATCCATTGCTGGCCTTGTGGTGCTGGGCAAGTTACTTAGCTTCTTAGGTCCAGCCTTCACCAAGTGCTGTGTTCACTGTGACCTCATTGATGCCCCTCACCCCCGATTTAGCTGGGAGGTACAATCACACTCATTTCACAGATGGGAAATTGAAGCTCAGAGGTGAGTACCGAGGCCTCAGTTATGCCACCCAGTTTCACGTGCTCAATTCAGGCTTTCTGCAAATGTGCCCAAAACCTCTCTTCTCAGTCCGCCTCCAGGACCTAGCAAATTCTGTCAGACTCAATGTGTAGAGGAGGCGAGGAAGGGGCTAGTTTAATGAGCAGAAGACTGATGCTGCCTTCCCATTCCTGAACAGGATTCCAAGGGCTGCAGTGCCTCTGACAGCTCCCTGGGCCTGGCCCCTCTCCTGCCTGGCACCAGCTGCCCTGGATCCCCAGCCTGCCTGGGCACATACTGAGCCCCTCCCAGGAGCTGTCTCTGGCCATAGCAGGTGCCCAGACAGCAGCTCAGAGTGGGCAGGCATCGGGCAGACAGGCAAACCCTTCCCATGGTGCATACCATGGCAGCTGTGTCATGAATCTAGAGCACGCTCTTGCCCATCCAGACAGCCTAGCCATAGCTGCTGTGGGCACCTCCATGGACAGAAGTTCCTGTTTGATGACCAGGGAGTCCAGGGCCTGATTCTCATTCTATCTACCTAGTCTTGGTCCTGCTTCAGGCCTTTCATCTCAGTTTCCCTGCGCTTGCTTCCCCTGGGGTGGGGAGTTTCTTGCTCATTTGCCATCCAGAAAAAAATTGAGAAGGGGATTGGCCAGGGTGGGGCTGAGCTGGAGGAGGAGGGGGAAGAGGAGAAGGCGGCTTTTCCTTTTGTTAGGCTCCACTGGGGCTGGCAACGAGGTGATAATGCTTCTAATGGGCAGGGATAAGCGGGAGGATCAGAGTATGTCAACAATAGCAGAGCAGCAAAAGCTGCAAAAGGGAGTGGCCTGGCCAGGCTGGAGGAATGGGGGGACACACTCTTCATCCAGGGCATCCAAGGTGAAGGGAGACCTCTTGCGCCGCCCCCCCCCCCCATATCTATAGCCATATACTCTCAGTCCCAGCTTCCTTGGTCAGTTTCAGACCCATGACAACCTATGGAAGCAGAGAAACTTCTCACCTGTAGGGTGTGGCCCCAGACCCCTTAGAATTCTGATCTGAAGAAGTCCAGGGCCTCACTCTGCCTGCATTATCCCCAAACACCCTGAACTCCCCAACTCCATATACTATGGATCACCCCATGTTCCTTCCTAGTATAATTCAGACCCCTATATTCTGGGAAAATTCTGGTGTCCCCAAATGCTCTCCAATAGTGCCCCAGATTTCCAGATAGCCCCATTGAGCTCTGCTGACCCTCTCCTATCCTGCTTTCTAGGGACCACCCTTCCCTCTGGTCCCGTTCCTACCAGGTTGCCAACAGAGAGCACGTTGTCAAAGTGCTCTGTCATGGGATAATGCTCCATGGCCATGAAGAGGGTGTTGAGCACGATGCAGATGGTGATGCCCAGGTCCACGAAGGGGTCCATGACAATCAGGTGGATTATGTGCTTGAACTTTACCCACGGGGCACAGCAGTTCCATATGAGCACTTTGTGTGAGCACTTGTACCACCAAGGTGGGCACTTCTGGTGGGCCTCTTCCAGCTCTGAGGGTGGAGTTATAACAAATGTCTGATGAGGTCATCCCCTTTCCTTCATCTAGAGTACTCCAACACCCGCCCCCTAGCATTCTACATCTCAACAATCCAACCACTGGCAAGCCCTACTCCAAGCTTCACTGCCTCTTAGAGTGAGATTACTTCTTACTGTAATCTCCCCTTCACCCCTCAAGGTTCCACCACTTAAAGTATCATTCCTAAAAGCTCGTACTCTCAAAATCCCATCTGTCAACGATGCTTTTTTCCCAGCCCCGCCACATTGCCCTACCCTTGAATCTCCACCCCCTCAGAATTCCACATCCTACAAAGCCCCTCCCTGAGAATTTGGGCTAACTCAGGCTCTGCAGCCTCACAGGGCTAGATCCTGGCAGAGAGAGATGCCCTGGTCTCTGGCTGGGTCCCAGAGTCTTCAAGGAGAGGCAGGAGTCCACTACAAGAAGTTGTGTCCCAGTTTCACATGCTGCTGGCTAGAGTCTGGGGAGAAGATTGAGTTGTCCCCTGAAGGATCTTCTGGGATCACTGTCAGTAGTGTCAGCACCTCCAAACTGTCCCCAGCCAGATTCTCCTTTCCCTCCAGGCAGGTTTTCTGGAAACACCTCCTGTTCCTACTACACTAGAGCTCTGTAAGCACCATGAGATGAAGCTGCTCCTCCATTTGGCCTCTGTGGTTTATGGGCGTGGCCTTGGCCTAGGCAAATACTATTAGTGCCACCTGTTTTGCAGATGAAGGACAGGGACTAGAGTGGTGGCAGCTCCATGGTGACCCTGGGTAGGATCTTAGCCCTGCCTATGAATTAGAAAAACGAAATCTCTTGTAGGATGCCACTGCTGTTAGTCTGTGAGCACCTTTCATCTCTACCCTAGGCTATTGTGGATGCGCCAGTTTCTGAGGCCCCAAACTTCTCAGCAAGGCAGGGGTGAGAAGCTCCCTGAGCTAACCCTGCCCAGCATTCCCTAAACCATTCTCTGTGAGAGCAGTCACCAGGGTGCATCTAACGAGGTCACGTGGGACAGTGCACTCCCGGGATTTGCAAAGTCCCGTAGAAGCCCAGACTTCTTGCTTTCAGCATTAGGCAAACTGGCCTGGGAGGCACAGATCTCTTCTTTGGATCAGAGTTCCTTTTCTTATATCCTCTCTCTCCCCAGATTTGTTTCTTCCTTTTCCCTGCTTTCCATCTATTCTTCCCTCTATCTCCTTTCTTTCCTTTTCTTCCTCTGTCTTTCCTTCTCTCTTTCTCATCCATCCATACATGTATCTCTCCCCGTTCACAGTAATCTTTCAAACCATCTATCCACCTTCCATCCATCCATCATCCACCTACCTTTCTCTCAGTATCTTTAGTCTCCTCCTGAGACTTGGAGATAGCCCAGGGCTGGGAGTCTGTGACTCTTCCTGTGTAGTTCAACCTTTAACCTTTGAACCTTTACCCAAAGAATGCTGGAGAAGCAGGCTACCCTGTTTCTGGAACATTTGGCCTTCCTGCTTAGTATTATTAGCCTGTCCTTCCCCGATTGCCTTGGCAACTCTCAAGGCCCTCCCGGAAGCATCTCCTTCCCAAATTGACCTGGCCTTGCAGCTAGAACTGGGCCAGGTGGAGACAGGACTATATTTATCACAACCCTTGGCCCTCCCAAAGCTGGATCTAGCCAGGCCTGCCTGTCAAAAGGTTGAACAGTCTGGTGGTTAGACTAGGCAGAGTGGGAGGAAGGGGATGGGGTGTAGGGTACTTACCTTCCATAGCATCAGAGATGGCACTGTCTGCACTGCAGCTAGGCCTCGGGGGCCCCTTCTCCCCTGCTGATGTGTCCAGGCTGCCATTGCAGTCTTTGCTGTGGGCCTGGTCCCCATTTCCCTCTCCACTTTCCAGAGCCTGGGCAGCCTTGGCCTGTAGAACAGCAAAGAGGATGAGCAATTAGCCCAGCTCTGAAACAGGCGGATTGCTTCACTGACTCTCAGAGCTTCTTACTGAGTCCTTAGGATAACAGCCCTTCCTAGCTGTGCCAAAGCTAGGTGTGGAAAGGCTAATCTCGATGAGAGTGGGGATGATAGGCAGGACCATCTGATGTTCTTCAACTCTAAAATCCACATGGAAGCTGGGTGCTGGTGGCTCACACCTATAATCTGTACTACTAAGGAGGCTGAGATCTGAGGTTTACAATTGGAAGCCAACCTGGGCAGGAAAGTTCATGAAACTCTTATCCCCAATTAAGCAGTAAAAAGCTGGAAGTGGAGCTGTGGCTCAAGTGGTAGAATACAAGCCTTGAGCAATTAAGCTAAAGGAGAACATGAGGAGCTGAGCTACCAGCACACACACAAAATATCTAGATGGATTCCATTCTTTATGAAATGAGGCAGTGGCTCACACTTGTAATCTTAGCTACTCAGGAGGCTGAGATCTGAGGATCATAGTTAGAAACCAGCTTGGGTAGGAAAGTTTGTGAGACTCTTTTTTCTTTTTTTTTGGGTCCGGTCATGGGGCCTGAACTCTGGGCCTAGGCACTGTCCCTCAGCTCTTCAGCTCAAGGCTAGCACTCTACTCCTTGAGCCACAGAGCCACTTCCGGCTTTTTTTTTTTTAATGTGGTGTTGAGGAATCGAACCCAGGGCCTCAGGCATGCAAGGCAAGCGCTCTACCACTGAGCCACCTTCCCAGCCCTGTGAGACTCTTATCTCCAATAAATTACTCAGAAAAGGCCAGAAGTGGTGCTGTGGCACAAGTGGTTGAGTACTAGCTTTGAGCACAAAGAGGCTCAGGGACAGCACTCAGGTCCTGAGTTCAAGCCTCAGTACCAGCAAGAAGAAGAAGAATAGGAGGGGGAGATGAAGGGGAGGGGAGAGGGAGGGAAAAATGGGTAACTGTTCCTTGTTTCAAATGGAATTTTTTTTTTTTTTTTTTTTTTTTTTGCCAGTCTTAGAGCTTGAACTCAAGGCCTGGGCTGTGTCCCTGAGCTTCTTTTGCTCAAGGCTAGCACTCTACCACTTGAGCCACAGTGCAACTTCAGGCTTTTTCTGTTTATGTGGTACTGAGAAATCAAACCCAAAGCTTCATGCATGCTAGGCTAGCATTCTACCACTAAGCCAAATTCCCAGCTCTCAAATGGGAATCTTTCTGTACCTCAGCACAGACTCCAAAAGGAGCTTTCTGCTCTATCTTTCAGTTGGAGGAAGCTTCGGATTTTATTACTCCAGATTCCTTGTCGTAAGTGGAGAAACTGAGGCAAGGAACAGAAAAATATGCATGCTATTGTCTGGCTGGCACCCATTCCACTAAAGCTCCCAGACTGGTTCTGCTCCTCTTGTTTTGGAACCCTTCCCTCTTGCCCCATCTTTGAGTCAAAAGCCAAGTTGCTTTTGCTGAGGACAGGGGGACCTCTGGATCCTTATGACTGCATGCACACCTTCTCCAGCTCTTCCTGGTGCTTTTTGAATTTCTCAAGCATCTGCTGAAACTCTTCCTCTTTCTCCTGGTCCTCCGCCAGGGTGGCCTCATTCTGCTCTGCATAGGCCATGGCCACCACTGCCAGGATCAGATTGATGAGGTAGAAGGAGCCGAGAAAGATGATAACCACAAAGAAGATCATGTAGGTCTTGCCAGCTGCTCGAAGGGTCTGAAGGTGGGAGAGAAAGAGAGATGGGGGTCTTCTCCCCACACCCATTGCCCAGCCAGGTAAGCCAAACAGGTCCCTCATAGAACCTAGGAATTTGAGGGCCTTTGAGACAGGAAACGGCCATCCTCAGACACATTCTGAGGAACTTCAAAATATACTGGGGGATCCAGGCATCCCTGATTTGATTGAGAACTTGGAGGTCCCCAGGCAGGCATCCAGGACAGACAAATGGTAAACATTGGGCTTTGGGGCCACTTAAATCCTAGGTTTGTTTTGTCCCACTCTGCAGCCCGGGCTGGTCTTAAACTTTGATTCTTCTCTGTCAAACTCCCAAGTGCTGAGAATTTTAAGCATACCCTTGAATCCTCACTTTGCCAGAGTTGGGTACCTAGTATGCACACAACAAATTGTAGCCATTAATAGCATTGTTATTGCTAAATCAATGTGTGTGTGGTGTGTGTGGTGTGTGTGGTGTGTGTGGTGTGTGTGTGTATATATGTGTGTGTGTGTGTGTGTGTGTGTGTGGTACTGGGGCTTGAACTCAGAGCCTCACACTCTCCCTTAGCTATTTTACTCAAGGCTATCACTTTACCTCTTGAGCCACACCTCCACTTCACCTATTTGCTGTTTAATTGGAGCTAAGTCTCTCAAGTTTGTCTGCCTGGACTGACTTTGAACCATGATCCTCAGATCTCAGTCTCCTGAGTTGCTAGGATTACAGGTGTGAGCCACCAGCATCAAGCACAACATCAACGTTAAAACATCACCAAAGAACAGAAGATACCATTATTCAAACTTGATCTTCCTACCCTGCAAACAGTAGACATTAAATAGAGGCATTCCTTGGCATCCATAGAGATTGATTCCCAAATCCCTAGGCATGCCAAAATCTGCTGATGTTTAACTTCCTTATATGGTACGATGTGATATTTGCATCTAACCTAAGCACATCCTTCCTATGCCTTAAACCAGCTCAAGATGATTTACAATATCTAACACAATGTAGGTAATGCGGAAATGTTATTATACTCTGTTCCTTAAGGAACAATGACCCTGTAAAATGTTTGTTTAGGTTCAGTACAGGCATGTTTTAATATGTATGTAAATAAATATTTATGCATCTATGGTTGGTTGAGTCTACAGAGGTGAAGGGAACCTAATAAGATGCAGGTGCAGAAGGCTGACGTACAGTAATTGTGTAGGGGCAGAGTTGAATTTCTATGCTGTCCTCCTGGGCTTGGAGAAGCCTGGCAGCATCTAACCTGAGGATCCACCATGCCCAGATCACAGCTCATAAAGCAGAGGTTAGGGAGAGAGAAAAGCTGTGGCTTGGCTCTAGACAAGTGCCCAATGTTGGAGACTCCAAGAGTCCCATGGACACTGAAGGAATCTCATGAGGAGGTAGCCACGGTGAGGACTTGACCGCCCTGGGGTAGGCCCTGTGAGGCCCTGGAAGAAAGTATCACCCTGGAGGGGTGAGGTGGTAGGGCTGGGGGAGAGGATGTGGGCAGTGGTACCAGCTGGAAGAGGTTCTCCCAGTAGTCCTGGGTCATGAGGCGGAAGAGAGCCAGGAAGGCCCAGCTGAAGGTGTCGTAGCTGGTGTAGCCATAGTTGGGGTTCCGGCCAGCCTTCATGCATTCATACCCCTCAGGGCAGTGCCTAGGGGCAGGATGAAGAACCAGCTTTAGGGAGGAGGGCTCTAGTGAAGGACAGATGGGAGACCCCAAGGGAAAATGATCCTTTAGTCCTGACTGCCTTCCCTAAACAAGAAGGTCTGACATCCATGGCCCTGGAGTTTCCTATGCCCCTGTTCACCCCAGATCACTGTGTTCCCCTCTCCCAGGACCCCTGGGGCTCCCTCTCCAGCATCACTCACCCAGCATCACTGCTGTTCCCACAGAGCAGGGCATCATTGGAACCCTCCAGGAAATAGAAGTTATCTTTGGGAGAGGTCACAAAGAAGAGACATCACCCACATGGACACACTTTGAGCACATGAACCCACTGTGCCCCTGTGGACAGGCCTATGCACATCACACACACACACACACACACACACACACACACACACACACACACACACACACACACACACACACACACACACACACACACACACACACCATGTACAGGCTTCCAGGAGCAGGCTGCCTTATAAGGATGTTTCTAAGCCTCACAACCTCTGGGTGGGTAAAGTGCAGGGGTTAGGCAACAAGTAGTCTGATGCCTAGTTATGAAGTTAAGACTTAGCCAGGGCCCAGAGAAAGCCAGATGGGTCATGTATACATTGTCTGGGGCTACCATGTATCTCCTTAGATCCCTGATGGAGGGGCAAGTGGGTGTTAGAATCCAGGGACCATGATGAATGGGTACTTTTCCTAATTTGCAAGTTGATCCTGTATGGACTATTAGTAGTTGTCTCAATGTGTGTGTGTGTGTGTGTGTGTGAGAGAGAGAGAGAGAGAGAGAGAGAGAGAGAGAGACAGACAGACAGACAGACAGACAGACAGACAGACAGACACTTGGCTGTGTGAAAGACAAACAGGTGAGCCAGATCTGGGTGTGTAGTGACCCTTCCAGAGAGGAACATAGGTGTGGCAAAGAAGAGGATGCTCAGGTGGGGGACAGAGATTCAGGACTGTTGCTTTATATTTTGAGAACCTCTGGATTTTTTTTTAAATCAGTCATAAGGCTTGAACTCTGGGCCTGGGCGCTGTCCCTCAGCTCTTTAGCTCAAGGCGATTGCTCTACCACTTGAGCTACAGTGCCCCTTCCAGTTTTCTGGTAGTCAATTGGAGATAAGAGTCTCATGGACATTCCTACCCAGGCTGGCTTTAAACAGTGATCCTCAGATCTCAGCCTCCTGAGTAGCATGAGCCACTGATGCCTGGCTGAACCTCCAGATTTTTAAAGCAATTCATCATTTATTGTCACATTGATCCTTTGAGAAAGGTATTCATCTATTGATTTTATAGGTTGGGATTCTGAGGGCCAGGATGGTCAAGTGACTGACTTGTCAGAGGATACATGGCTGGTCAGTGATGAAATTTTTTTTTTTGGTCGGTCGTGGGGCTTGAACTCTGGGCTTGGGCGCTGTCCCTGCGCTCTTCAGCTCAGGGTGAGTGCTCTACTGCTTGAGCCACAGTGCCACTTCCGGTTTTCTAGTGGTTTATTGGAGATAAGAGTCTCATGGACTTTCCTGCCCGGGCTGGCTTTGAACTGCCATCCTCGGATCTCAGACTCCTGAGTAGCTAGGATTACAGGCGTGAGCCACCAGTGTCCGGCTCGGTGATGAAATTTAAGCTTGTTATTGCTACAGTCTGAGATGGGAGCTGTGTATGGGACTAAATGGGCCTCCCCTTCTCTCTCTCTCTCTCTCTCTCTCTCTCTCTCTCTCTCTCTTTCTCTCTTTCTGTCAGTTGTGGGTCTTGAATTCAGGGCCTGGGTATCGTCCCTAAGCTCTTTTGCTCAAGGATAATGCTCCACCACTGTGAGTCACAGCACTACTTCTGCTTTTCTGATGGTTAATTGGAGAGAAGAGTCTCACAGACTTCCCAGGCTGGTTTTGACCCATGATCCTCAGAGACCAACCTAATGTGTAGCTAGGATTACAGGCATGAGGCACAGGTGCTCAGCTGGGCCTCCCCTGCCTTCTTACCTTCGTCACTGATGTAGGCATCCCAGTCAAAAGTGGAGTTGCTGGCCCAGCTCTCGTGGCTGTTGTACCACGTGTCATTGCCGTACCACGTGTCATTGCCGTACCATGTGGTGGTGTTGGTGTCGTTGAAGGGTGGGGGCCAGCGCACACACTTCTGACGGAGGTTCCCCATGAACAGCTGCAGTCCCACGAGGGCAAAGACACTTAGGCAAAAGACGGTGAGGATCATCACGTCGGACAGCTTTTTCACTGACTGGATCAGGGCCCCCACAATGGTCTTCAGCCCTGACCACAGAGAGAAGATGGAGGCACCACAGTGGATCCCCACCCGAAGGCCTCTCCCAAGCCTTTGCCTACCCCCTCTCCAACACTTGGCCTACTAGGTACCACTTCTTCCCCAAAGCCTTCCCCAGTTAACCCTACCCTTCTCTGAGCACATCCTCCGTGCAGAACCTTGGCATTGCCACAAGGCAAATGAACTCGAGGACTCGCTGAGCTGCTGCCTGGCCTAGGATACTACAGAAAAGTATACAGAGGAGTCTAATAAATGTCTCTAGGTTAGCACTCCCAAACTGTGTTCCACAGGACACACTTCTTTCAAACTGTGCTCTTCAGAGGGTGAAGGGAAGTCCGTAATGTTTGGGAAAGGCTGTGTCCTATAGTCTAACTCTCAGTCATTATAGAATAAGCCTTTCAAAGGTTCGTAGAAGTCCTGCAGTGTTAAGCAAAAACTTTAATACTGTCTTTCCTCAACAATGACCACAATATCATTTTCCTATATAAGCCTATTAATGCCTAAAGACCAGGAGGGCTTACTCTGAGTTCTAGACTGATTGTGTGTGTGTGTGTGTGTGTGTGTGTGTGTGTGTGTGTGTGTGTGTGTGTGTGTGTGTGACAGTAGTAGGTTTTAAACTCAAGCCTTCACATTCTCACTTTTTTTTTTTTTGTTTTTGCTCAAGGATGGTGCTCTACCACTTGAGCCACATTTACTTCTGGATCTTTTGTGCTTACTTGGCGATAGATAAGAGTCTCATGTATTTTCCTACCTGGGCTGACTTTGAACTGCCATTCTTACATCTCAGCCTCCTGAGTAACTAGGATTTCGGGGGTAAGCCACTGGTGCTCAGGTTATGCTGTGCTTCTTGCTGCATGACGTTGGAATCGCCCTGCCTCTTGTGGCTGGAGGCTGAAGGAGGTGGGTCTTCCTCACTGTGCCCTCAAGCCTGGGTCTTCCCCTCATTAGTTCCTTTGGGTCTGTCTTTCAGGTGGAGTCCTCTGCTCTGCCCGATCTGTTTATCTTTTTTTATTATTATTATTGCCAGTCTTGGGCCTGGGCACTGTCCCTGAGCTTCTTTTTGCTCAAGGCTAGTACTCTACCACTTGAGCCACAGCACCACTTCTGCCCTTTTCTGTACTGAGGAATTGAACCCAGGGCTTCATGCATGTTAGGCAAGCACTCTACCACTAAGCCACATTGTCAGCCTTGTTTATTTTTTTATCTTAACACACAACTTTTGTACCATACCCAGTGGGCCAGGAGCTATTCACAGTCCTATAACAACCCAACCAATCTCATAACAACCCAATGTTTACTGTTAAAGAAACTGAGGCACAAGCAGGCTAAACCATTTGTCTAAGCCAATATTAGGAAGTGGTAAAGGAGAGAACTGAACCCACACTGTGTGGCTCCAGAGCTCACACTTGCCACCTTTGCCATCCTGCCTCTTACTTGCTCAGCCTCCTACCATGGATACCTTCAGCTCTCTGGCCCTGTGGACCCCATGGTGTGCATTTTACACAAACAGAAGCCTCTGAGCCAGGCTCCCAAAACTTGAATGTCAAGGTCTCAACCTGGGCCTAGTGGGAGGGCTAATGTCCAAGACAGTGTCCCTGCAGCTCCTGGATACCTGGGATGACAGTGATGGTTTTCAGGGCCCGCAGTACCCGGAAGGTTCTCAGGGCTGAGATGTTTCCCAGGTCCACGAACTCTGTCAGATACCTGTGTGAGGAGCGGGGGTGGGGCAGTGTCAGCGTCAGGTGGGTACTGGGGCTTCCAGAAGGAAACCCAGAATGAGGGTTCCAAGAAGTCCTTGTCATCGAGGTTAGCACAGGAAGGCAAGGGGGAGGTCAGACACAGAAAGCCCCACACAGTGGTGATCACAAGGACATCCTAGCTTGCCCAGTGGCACTGTGGTGTATGTGGACATCAACAGAGCCTCTGAGACAGAACTTGGGCATCACGCACTTTGCATTTGGCCAGGGCTCTTGATTGACATCCACCCTCAAGAGGAGCTGCCCTCTTTCTTTCTTTCTTTCTTTTTTCCTTCCTTCCTTCCTTCCTCTCTTTCCTTCTTCCTTCCTTCCTTCCTTCCTTCCTTCCTTCCTTCCTCTCTTTCCTTCCTCCTTCCTTCCTTCCTTCCTTCCTTTCTTTCTTTCTTTCTTTCTTTCTTCCTCTCTTTCCTTCTTCCTCTCTTTGCTTCTTTCTTTCCTTCCTTCCTTCCTCTCTTTCCTTCCTCCTTCCTTCCTTCCTTCCATCCTTTCTTTCTTTCTTTCCTTCTTTCTTTCTTTCTTTCCTTCTTTCCTTCTTTCCTTCCTTCTTTCTCTTTCTTTCTTTTTCTTTTTGTTGGTTGTGGAGCTTGAACCCAGGGCCTGGGCACTGTCCCTGAGCCTCTTTGTGCTCATGGCTAGTGCTTTACCACTTGAGCCACAGCGCCACTTCCAGTTTTTGAGTGGTTAATTGGAGATAAGAGTCTCATGGGGACTTTTCTGCCCAGGCTGGCTTCAAACTGAGATCCTCAGATCTTAGCCTCCTGAGTAGCTAGGATTATAGGCGTGAGCCACTGGCACTGGACTCAGCTGCCTTCTTTGACCTCCTTCTCCCACCCACCTGAGGGCACAGGATGCCCACCGGCCCCTGCTCACGCCATCATGATGACACTGAAGTCCAGCCAGTTCCAGGGGTCCCTCAGGAATGTGAAGTCATCGATGCAGAAGCCCCGGGCTAGCATCTTGATGAGGGACTCAAACGTGTAGATCCCTGTGAAGGTGTACCTGGCGAGGAGAAGGCCAGCCAGGCATGTCACCGGGGCTGGGGCCTGTGTGCAGTGCCAGTCATCATGGATGGTCACAAATGAAACACACCATTCAGGAACTTAGGGCACTGGTGGGAAGGACAGGGTGACAGTGGGCCTTGCCCTCCCCCAGGGAGTTAAAGTGTGATCACATAGAACTGGATCAGGCTGTGTCCCAGGGCTGGGGCAGGGTTTGGGGCGGGGACACTTACTCCACATCCTTGGACCAGGGCGGCGGGTCACTCATGGTCATGAACACACAGTTGGTCAAGATGGTGATCATGATGAACATGCTGAACAGCGTAGGGGTGGGTCAAGGAAAAGTGAGGGAGACGCAGGGGAGGGGAGGAGGACAGGGTCTCCAGGCCGAGAACATTCAGCTTTGCCTCCCAAACCTTCCCTCTCTCCCACTCTGGCAGGATATGAGTGGATAAGCACCTTGATGGCACCACGCCTGATGATGCTGAAGGGGCTCAGGATGTAGAGAGCAGGCGTGGCAGAGAAGCGAAAGATGGACTTGCCCTTGTTGAGCACGATGAAGGTCTGAGAGAAGGAGAGGGCCCATGAGGCCCAAGGACAGACACACAGGTGGACGATAGACAGACAAGAGGGAGCCCTCCAGGTCCCAGACCTTTTTGTCACTGTAGTAGGGGTCCAAGTCCTCCAGGGGGATGCCAATGACTTCCGGTGGGGGGTCCCCATAGATGAGAGGCAGATTCTTGCCAGCTTCTAGGTCACTGCGTGGCTTCCGCTCTGGCTCCACTATTTCCATCTGCTTGTTCCGCTGCAGCCGGGCCTCCTCCTCCACTGCCCGCTGTTCTATGGCTGCCAGGGACTCCCGGGTGAAGGGGCGCAAGCAATCTGGGCCAATGGGCACCAGGTTGGGCAGGGATGTGCTAGCCATTCTTGCATTCTGGACTCAGGGACCAGGAGGTTGGTGGGCAGCTGAATAGCTGCAGCTGGCAGTGCTAGGGTCCTGAGTGGCCACTCTGGCCTGGGCCTGCTGTCCACTCCTCACCTCCTACCTGCCCAGGGGCAGGGCCAGGGAGGTGGGTGAGTGGACTCTGTCAGGACCAGAAGATGCACCTGCAGGGTGGTGGTGAGTCTGCTGCTGTAAGGGAGCTGGGTGCAGAGCATCACCCCACCCCCACCCTCAGCCACACACTGTACTCTCCCAGCAGTGGGGTGGGTTGCCCTGAAAAATGACAGCAAACCAATCAGATCCTCTTCAGCCTTGGGGATTGGGGGTAAAACCCCTGGACTCAAGCTCTGGAATCCATGGCTGGCCTATGGGAACAAGATAGAGAACCAAGTTGGCTGAATCCATGAGACACTCTGGATGAGTGGGCCAGGTTAAGAAGCCTGGTGAGATCGGCCTGAAGCACCACTGGGAAATGGACTCCTTGGATGCAGCCATGCGAATCCACGGATCCTGGCTTCCTGGAGATGTGAGTGAAGACCATTGAGGTCTTAGCTAGATTTAACACATGCACACGCATACACACACACCCACACAGAGTGGGTTGTGATTGACTGGTGCGGACTGTTAGATCCGGAATAGACACATGTGGCACATCTGCTTGTATTTACTCTCTCTGGTCTGAAGAGAAGGGAAAAGGAGGAGCTGGGGTAAGGAGTTCTTTGCCTCATCTTCAGTTTTTGATATTGGGTTAAGAGGGAATATCCAGAAAAGATCCCAAAGTCTTGCACATGATCCCAACAGCTTCCCTCCTCCCCTTCCCAGATCCCATGGGATTCAAACCCTTGGTCCATGAAGCTGGAGCAGGAAGAGCAGGAATGTATGCGCATGGGGCAATACCAGAAGAGCTGTGGGTGCTAGTGAGGAAGAAGAGGAAGATGCATAGGCAAGCTCGTAGGGATGAGGGGACAGACAGCTCCAGTGGGGACAGGGATAGAGCTCCTGGGGACTAACTGCTTTAGTGGTGGTCCGTGCATGAACAGGGGAAACACTGGGGCCTGTGAGCACTAGGTGGACTCCCCCCTGGACCTGGGTTTCTTCTGGTCTCTGGAAGGACAATGCTGGGGAACCATTAAAACCAGAACCACATACCTGACCACATCAGGAGACAGGCATACAAAGAATACCCCAGGCTCACATGGAAGAACACTCCCTCCAACATAAGGTACAATCAGAGACCCCCGGAGCTACATGCTGGGCAGCTCTCTCCCAGGCCCAGGCCCTGCAGCCGTGTCCTTGCCCCAGCCAGCAGGCATACTCCTCAGCCTTGATCAACAAATGGGGAAGATGCCAGGGAGAGGCCAGGGCCATTGGGCAGAGCTGGCTACGCCCTGTGGCTGGCTCTCCAGCTGCTCCTTGCCAGCCTCCAGGGAGTTGTGTTTCCAAGGGATGACTCTGCTAGTTCCTGCCCACTGCATTCCCCAGCTGCTACTCCACCCCATCCTGTGTATGGGGGGGGGGGGTGCGTGTGCACATGGGTGCCCCCTTACTCAGATCCTCACCACCTTGCTCGCTAACACCCCCACCCATCCCTGCACATTTACCTCTACTTGTCATCACACAGGGTCACTGGCCTGCCAAATGGCCTTGGTGGGACCCATCCACTTCACAGTCTCCACTTGGCAATAGATTCCCTAGATCTTCCCGCTCAAGCTCCATATGAGATGTTGGTACTACTTTGGCTCTTCCCACCAGCCCAAGGACACCATCACCAAAAACCCAGAGCCACAGCCTGGCTCCAGTCCAGCCCCCCCTGAGGAAACTGATTTCACTTCAGGCACAAGACCCCAAGGCACAAGGCTCAGGGTTTCTTCTCAGCAGAGCCCTTGAGCATACCATACTGAACCTGACTTCCTTCTTAAGAGCAACGTGGCCCAACCCTCTGTTCCCTCTTCTGGTCTCTGCTCTGGAAACCCTCTGCTTCCCTTGCTGGAAGATATTCCTTGAACATCACGTGCCATCCTATCTTCATTTGTTAATCTTGCAGCCCCTTTATGTCTAGAAGTCTTGTTCCATGATGGAGAAAGGTATCTTCATTGGTTTAGCTGGTTGAAGGCCAGCGTGGCTGGTGGCTGCCAAAAGCCTGGTGGTTCCCATACCCTGAGGATGTCTCTCTCCAGCATATCTTGTCCTTTACATTCTCCAAGGCTACAGGTAAGAGCACACACCCCTCATCTGCTCTATTCATATAACCTCTACCCATCCCTTTGTCCCTCTGTCCTCTGTCCCTCCCTCCCCACCATCTGCATCACAAGTCTGATCATCCATCTCCCCTTTGTCTGTCTGTCTGTCGGGTATCCTTCAAGATATCCCTACACACCTCCACGTGGCTACTCCTTTATCTGATTCCTACCTTAGCATTTGACCCTTCTCCACTGGCTATGAACGACTTGCATTTTCACAAATCAGCCAAACAGTTTCCAACTCCAGTCCCTGTGGGGCCTTTGCTTGTGGTCTGCTCACCTCCCCAATACCCATCCTCTGTCTTCCTTGAGAGCTCCAGCTTTTCCTTCCAGATTCAACCTATGTGAGAGCTACATCCTCCAGAAAGCCCTCCTTCCCAAGCCTTCTAGCTGGGTGGATCCTGTCTAAATTTATTGAATGAATGAATGAATCAGAGGATCTCTCTACCTCAGCCCCCCAATCGGACCTGTTGCTGTGATTCTCAGGCTTGCTCAGGCCTTTGTGGGCCCTGCACCTCCCACCAGACCCCATCCACTTCCCTTCCCACTCAGACTGAGTGGCCAACCCCTTCCCAGGCCCACACTCTAACCCTTGCTTCTTCTCTCCCTCCACTGCCCCCCCTTGAGAAACCCCATCCTGAACCTCTGCTGTGCTTTTCCTGAGTCTCCCCAGCAGCTGGAGGTTGCCAGACAAAGATAGTGGGCTGTGCTCACACTGTGTGGGAATATGCCCTCAATCCTGCTAGCCCTGTAAGTACAGAAATTTCTGGTAGGCTGATTTTTTTCACGTTTTGAGAATAAGTATTTCATGTTCTTATGTGTCGTCAAAGCCCCACTTTCTTCCCTAACATTTCCAGCTGATGAGCCTGCTTCTCCTTCATTGACAAAGTCGGTGCCATCACTGTCAAGTTCACAGAGCCATCTCTGCTGTCATTCCTCTTCCTCCTGTCTCCTGTCAGGCTATAATCATCATCATCATCATCATCAAAGGCCAGGCCATGTACCTCGGCCCAGGAACCTGACTCCTCTTCCCAGGGTCTTATTCTTTTTTTTTTTTTTTGGTCTGGTTGTGGGGCCTGAACTCTGGGCCTGGGCGCTGTCCCTCAGCTCTTCAGCTCAAGGCTAGCGCTCTACCACTCGAGCCACAGTGCCACTTCCGGCTTTTTTCTTTTTGCTTGTGTGGTGCTGAGGAACCGAACCCAGGGCCTCAGGCATGCAAGGCAAGCACTCTACCACTGAGCCACCTTCCCAGTCCCAGGGTCTTATTCTTTAGTTATCCTTTTTTTTCCTTCTGCTCATTGACATTGTCCTGTCTGTGAGCAAATACCTTAAACTTAATAGCAGCTATGATAAAATGATGTTCCCAGCCTCACACCTCCCTTTATCCACTTCCCTATTTTTCTGTTCCTAGTCACACACACACACACACACACACACACACACACACACTCTCTCTCTCTCTCTCTCTCTCTCTCTCTCACACACACACACAAGAAAACAAAAAAACACCACATTCTTGGAAAGTGTCTACATCAGCTGACTCTACTTCCTTACCTTGCATTCATTCCACAATCCAGGCCAACTGGCTGTCATCTCCTCCACTCAGCGGAAGTAGCTTTTGTCAAGTCGCTCACACCGGCTGCCAAAACCTGTGCACACGTTTCTGTCTTCACCTCCCTTGACCTCTCAGACACATTCAACTGAGTTGGCCATAGCCCCCTTCTAGAACATTCTATCCTCTCAGCCTCCATGAAATCACATTTAGGGTTTCTCTTCTTCCTCCCTGGCTGTTCCTCACCAATTTCCCTTGAGTGACCCTATTTTTCTCTATCCAATCTCTAGAGCACTTCTAGGCTCATGCTCACAGGATGACAGTAAATAGTAACATAGGAACAAGGTCAACCTCTCTCTTAACTCCATGCTGGAATAGCCCCACTGCCTTCTAGACAGCTCCATTGGGACAAAAGGCTTGTGCTCTTCCTCTAGCCAGGAAATGGTGATTCCTCTATCCAGTTGCTCAAGTCCAAAACCAAGGCATCTCTCTGAATTCTCCTTTTCCTCTCCTTGTCGACATTCTGCCTGTTCAAAGATCTAGCAATGTCATCTCTAAACTGCACCTAAATTCCACTGTGCATTTTTCCTAACCCTTTCTCCCCAAACTACAAGGATCTTTGGCAGTGGTCAATTTCCTGCTGCTGGGTTTGCCAGTCCCTCTCAAATCACTCCTGCAAAGTAGCCATTAAGCTTTTACAGACAAAAAACCCAAGGTAGAGCTATAGCTCACTGGTAAAGCCTTTACATAGCAAACACAAAGCCCTGAGTTCAAACTCCAGTATACCCAAAAAACAAATGTTGTTTCTCTTCTTCAATGATCTAGTATGAGTAACTTCCTATTGCTCTTAGGATACAACCTGAACTTCCCGAGGTGGTCTTCTAGACCCTCCGGACCCAGTCCTGCTGCCTCCCACCTTTGTCTCCTGATCTGTCCACCTGGTCACTCTGCTCTAGTCCTACTGGCCTCCTAGAGTCTTTACCTAGCTCCCTACTGAACTTGGCACTCGCATGTCTCTCTTGTCTTCACATGCTGTTCCTTCTCTTCACCCTGATTTAAACTCAAATGTCCCTTCCTCCAAGAAATTCTCTTCCTTTACTCTCTTCCACTGTCCTTGGTATTTTTTTTACATCATTCATTTATCACTTTTTTTTTTTTTTTGGCCGGGCCTAGGGCTCAAACTCTTGGCTTGGGCGCTGTCCCTGAGTTTCTTTTTTGCTCAAGGCTAGCACTCTATCACTTGAACCATCTGGCTACTTCTAGTTTTTCTGAGATTAATTGGAGATAAGAGTCTCACCTACTTTCTTGGCTGGGCTAGCTTTGAATGGCAATCCTCAGATCAAAGACTCCTGAATAGGCAT